GGCAGGTCTGGAAAGGACCACGAAACAGCATCACGCTAGTGGTCAGATGAGAAAATCCAGGCCCCAGGAGTGGAGAGAACTTCCCAAGCCCACGTGGTTTTTCAGGGTTTTCAGAACTAAAGGCAACTCTGTCCCCTGTGGTCAACATACACCCAAGTTGCTCGCCTTCCTGGGTAACCAAGGAAATGCAAATTGAAACCACAGCGAGACAGCATTTTATGCTCATTACATTGACAAAAAGTTAAAAAGTCTGATGGTGCCAAGTGGCGGGAGGACGAGGAGCAGCGGGCGCGGCGAGCGGCCTGGGCACAGCCCCACGGCCTGGGCGGGGCTGGAGCCTCGCTGCAGGCGGCTCGCGGCCGGCCGTGACCTGTGCAGTCCCTTGCCCGGCACCTGCTTTAGTGCTCTGTGGCTGCTGCTGCTGCCCTGAAACCCCTAAGCACTTATCAAGGGGACCAAATTTTGATCTGTGTATTAATTATAATTTAATTGATTAATTTTAGCCTTACATTGAATTTAATCAATTTAATTTTAAGATTTAATTAATTTAAATTCAATTTGCATATTACAAATCCAGCCCTGTCCAGTGGTTTCACTTCTTGGTCTTTACCCTGGAGAAGCTCTTGTCCATGGGAACCAGGAGACCCATCGAGAATGTGTATAGCAGCTCTGCCTCTGCAGAGAACCAGGAGCCCACACAGCGTGGATGAATCCAGGAAACATATGCCGGGCAATGAAAACATGAAGTATAAGAATACATACAGTAAATACCATTTTCAGAAAGTTAAAAGAAAAGCAAAACTAAATAGCAGCATGTAGGGATATACATACAGCGGGAGATCTATAAAGAAATGCTGTGTAAGGTTGATTCTAAATAGGATGTTGGTGGCTGGGTGAGGCCTCGAGACGCCACAGGGTGGGCTCTTGAAGGAGCCTCGGTGTCACAGACAACTGTGGGGTCTGCTTCAATGTCAGGCTTTGGAGCAAATCAATGACATCAATCCTCCAGGCGTTGGTGTCAAAGACTGAACTTGTTTTTTTAGAGATGGAGTCTTGCCCTGTCACCCAGGCTGGAGTGCAGTGGTACCATCACAGCTCACTATAACCTGGAACTCCTGGCCTCAAGCGATCCTCCTGCCTCGGCCTCCCAAAGCGCTGGTGTTACAGGCATGAGCCACCAAGCACGGCCAATACTACGTATTTTAAAAAGAGAAGAACCTGGCCGGGTACCAGGAACTCTAGTCTGGGCCACAGGACAAGACCCCATCTCTAAAAAAAGAAAAAAAAATGAAAGACCCCGCCCAGGCTTGATGCACTGTCAGGCTCAGGCATAGAGGTGGCACGTGGGAGGGCTCAGCACTCCGTGTGTGTCCCCCGGCCGAGCCTGAGGCCCTGGAGAGGGGACCAGCAGTGCGTAGGCCCCTGAGAGGGGACTGTTCCCCACGGGGACTCAGCTGCCCTGGATATTAGTGGCAGCTGGGGAGAAACAGCTTGGTAAGGTGAGGCCTCTTAATTCACCGAGAATACGAATTCACGGACGATGATGCCAACAGGAGAGTTGCCGTCCAGGGAGGACATTAGAGGAGCCAAATTCTAGCCTGTTTTGTCAGTGAAATATGCACGTGCAGCTCTTACACTTAATCTGTCTCATCTCCAGCAACTTCTCCCGTGTTGTTTTAGTCTCTCTGGGCAAAAAGGTGCCTTTCATTTCAAGAGGTTTTGTTTTTTTAAACTGCATTTTCCAACACTTACCTTGATGACTTTGTTCTGTGCTTGAAATCAAATCTTGTTTTTCTTCTCTCTTTTCCAAGTTTTGTCATGTTGTTAGATTACTTTCATAATTTAAGGAATGCAGAATACATTTTAATCACTCTTTATATCCTTTAAAATATAAATATCCTCTATTTACTCAGTTTACTATTTCAACTAGAAACATTCATGTGGCAGCATTTGTCTAGATAATGCTTGGAAGCAACCATGTTGTGCTGCGCTGGATGTGGCTGTCATAAAAGCGAATGTGGACAGAGGCCACCAAGACCCTGACGAGAAGTGACCCAGATCTCTCTTTGCAGACATAGGCCTGGGGAAGGGGGGCAGGCCAGGGGGTGAGCGCTGTGCCTGGAGGATGAGTGAGGAAGAGGTCTCCCCACCAGGGACAGAATGACTGTCCGGGACAGTGGTCCGAGGAGGGGCCTGACTGGGGAGAGGCTGCAGGGTCACCACGGCCTCTGTGCCATTCCCTGAGCTGACATCTGCACAGCACCCTTTGTGGGCATGGGAAAAACCCTCAGGGCTAACTCCCAGGTGGTGGCTGTGACCACGCCTTGGCCTTGGAAGGCCCAGATGTCCAGAACCCTGCCACTCTCAGTCCCAGGAAACAGACCCAAGACAGCCGTGTGCCAGGGGCCCCAGCTGAGGCCCTGGCCTAGATGGTTCAGAGCCTGACTCTGCCCCAGACCAGCCAGCCAAGGATGGGAGGGTGTGCAGGACCAGAAGGGGACAGCTGGGGGTCCTGGGACACCCCCTGCCAGGGGAGTGCTGGGGCCAGGCATCCGCCCTCCCAGCCAGGGTTCCTGCTTGTTTCCTGGGCTCTGCCTGAGCCCAGCCCTGGCATGGGGGCCTGGCTTTAAGCTGAAGCCCATTCAGTGGACATGAGGCCCCCAAGCCTGTTCCCCACCCTTCCCCCAGGCAGACTGCTGGCCTCAGCTGTCTGCGCTGGACTGAGCTGGAGGTCTGTCCCTTCCTGGCTGAGAGCCCAGCTCAAGTCCCTTCCACCCCACGCTGCTGGAGCCATGCTGGCCTCCTCGCACGGGTAAGCCACCTGCAGCCCTGCCTGCCCAGTGCACCCTCCGTCCCTCAGGCCTCCCCCGCCCCACCCAGTGGGTGCTCTCCAGGCTCTAAGCTCCCTGCAAGTGGGGGGTGGGGAGAGCACAGAGCCACCATCTGGCTACAGAGCCAGGATTCAGACACATGAGATGATTCCTCAGGGAACAATCAAGACAGCCTACACTTACGGAGATTCTGCTGGGAGCTTCAGAGGGGCAGGGAGGGGAGACAGACGTGAGCAGGCGGGGTGGGGCCCAGGCCTGTCAAGGAACCCCAGTCCGTGCATCCTGGGCCAGTTCTCTTGCTTTTCCGAGGATGCCCATGCTGTGACAGGGGAGGCACATGAAGCTGCCGTCCCTGCAGCTGGTCCTGAAGGGTCAGAGGCTGCAGCCTCAGGCATCCCGCACCGCCTGGGGTGGGCGGGGGATCCCGAGGCCTTTCGGGTGGCCTGGGAGGGGCTGACAGTGATGACAAGCAGGAAGGAGGGGCCGGTGGGCAAAGGGAAGGCCAGGAAAAGGCAGCGGCCGGGGCAGTCCTGGGCCAGCAGACCCAACTCGCCCACATTCGGGGGCAAGTTCAGGCCCGCGTGTGGGGGCTGCAGCTCAGCAGTCTGCATGGAGGCATTTTTGACGTGCTCTGTGTCCCCTTGAGGCCTGAGCCCAGCCAAGAGCACAGGCAGAGGCTGCTGGCCCGCTCTCTCCTGTCTTGACATGAAGGAACCAAAGGCCAAAGCGAGGGCGTGGAGAATTGGGGGGCACGTGGGTTGAGGGGGCAGCCGGGCTCTCCAAGACTTGGACTTGCCTCGCAGCCAGGGGCACCGCACCCGTGTGTTAAGCCAAGTCTCATCTTGTCTCAGGTGGTGACGTGGTGGCCATCCCAGCCCAGGAATAGTGTGACAAATGCCAGGCTAAATGTCCACTAAATGACTGGCTGCTTCTCAGAGCCATTTGGACTTGAAATGACAGAGTACAGACCCCTGAGGGCCTCGAGAAGGCGCAGGAGTAGGTCTCAAAGGCCTAGTTGGGTTTCGTGTGGCTGGCGCGGGCGCCCTGCGCCCTGCACCGAGGCTCGAGGACCAGCCCTCCTGGGCGTCCCGGCTGCTAAACGAGCAGCCACCAGGCCTGGTGCCACAATGCCGGGGCCAAGGCCCTCTGTTCGGCTGCCAGCCGACCTTGGGGTAGGCGAGGCGACAGAGGTCTGGGCTGAGGTCTCTGTTGGGGTCACAGGTGTGGTGCAAAGTAAGGCGGGTGGGTAGGCCCTACGAGGGCCTCCCTTAAACCCTGCCATATGCGGTGGGCCTGAGGCAGGTTCCCGATGCCTGTCCAGGCAGCTGTGACGGGCCAGTCCTTTCTGTCCACAAAGGGACCCCCAGGCTCTGGGCCTTTCTCCAAGAGTGGTAAGCTTGCCCCCCACTGGAGTCCCTGGTGGGGCTGGGGTGGCCCAAGCCGTGCCCTCCCACACTCAGCGGAGCCGCCGTCGCCACTCCCAGTCCTCCGAGTCACCCTGCCTTCTGCTGCGGGCTGACTGCCCTGGGTTAGGCTTGGGTATCGTGGTGCTACCACAGCTCACTGCAGCCTCGAATTCCTGAGTTCAAGCGATCCTCCTGCCTCAATCTCCTGAGTAGCTGGGACTACAGGGGTGCACCACCACACCTGGCTAATTTTTCTATTTTTCTTGCAGGATGGACAGAGTGCCAGGCAGGCCATGTGTATGGGGGCAGCATAGGTGACAGGAGCCATGGGCAAAAGAAACACTTAGTACTTGTTTTCTGGGCAGTATCAGGAAGGCATGAAAGGTGGCCTGTCTGAGCGCTATGCCGGGAGGGGCTCCACCCTCAGCACGGAGCGCCGGGTGCAGTCCAGGCTCCTGGCTGAACAAGGGGCCTCCAGGCACTCCTGCAGGCCCCCAGTGTCCACTGAGGTCCAAGAGGCCTGATCTTGCTCCCGTCACCCTCCTGGTGTGAGCGGAGGTGGGCTCGGGGTGTCAGGGATGAAAACCACGCTGGGCTGGCTGGAACTGAGGGGCTGGGGGCTGGCAGGACTGTCTCCAGAATTCACCTACACGCTTTGCACGATGTGTAGACAGTCCCCAACACCTCAGCAGCTTCCAAACACACCCTGCGCCCCAAGGAGACCAGATGCTCAATGGTGAGAGAGGCAAGCAGGACCCAGGAGACAGATTAGAACTCGTGGTTTATTGACACTTCTGCACAGTGGACCCCAGGAGAACCCTTCTGGCCCCTTCATCTTGGGACTTGGCCCTAGGAACAGGGGAAACAGTCACCCGGCTGCAGAACACGACTCCCAGGAAGCGCACTGGGCGTGCAGATAAACCCTTGGCAAGGCGGGCGCGGCACAGGACGGCAAACTTGGCACATTTGGCAGAGCCATGGAGCCCGGGCCGCGCAGGACCCCGGGGGCTGCCCCCTCGCACTGCAGGGGGAGAGTGGAACTAAAAACAGCTTCCTTCACACAGGCCCACCCGGCTTCCATTCTGCTGGGGTGAGGCCAGGCCTGGGGACGGCCCGGGCTGTCCGCCCAGCGCTGGGAACACTGCTGAGGTAGCCAGGCGCCCACCAGAGCTCACGGTGCGGGGAGGGAGAGCTGGGGCGGGGCCGGCCCAGGACCTCAGAGAGCCTGTGCTTCTCCCATGGGTCCTGGGACCCCAACCCCGACGCCACGCCATGTCCCTGGCCCCCTAAAACACTCGCATTTCCTATTCTGAGGCTGGAGCTGCCTCTGGGACTCTGCCTGGAGCACCTCCCGTCCCCACAGGCACCGGCTCTTGTACTCCATATAAGGTGCTGGCATCTGGAGCTGGATTCTTTTCCAACCCACTTAATTTTTAAGAATAGACACTAATAATACTTAATCACCCCTCCCTGCTGGCAGTGGGGGAAGGGCCCTGGGCTCTAGCAGCATCTCCCCTGCAGACTCAGCACAACCCCTGCGCCTTATAAAAAGGAAACTGAGGCCTGAGGGGGGTGCAATGACTTGCTAAACTCATATAATAAACAAGTGGCCAAGCTGGGGCTTGAGAAGGAAATTAAGATTTCCAGACCAGTGTCCCTGGCTAGGGCTCCCTATGGGACCGTGGCCTGAAGAGGAGGTGGCCCAGGAGTCTCAGAGGCTGGAGGTGCCTGGTGACTCCCAGTCCAGCTCTAATCAGGATGGAGCAGCCCTCCTCTGCGTCCAGGTGCCAGCACAAGGTCAGCCCTGCACAGGAGGAGAATGAGGGCTCCCGTGGCCCCAAGCCAAGGGCAGAGCAGCCCTGGATGCTGGCTGTCAGACATGTGCCAGGCAGGGCACAGCTGTCCCCATGCAGCCTGGCACAGGGGTCTGGGGAGGCATTCAGACAAGCCTGGGAAGATCTCCTGGTAGAGCCTCCGGCCAGGGTGAACCACACCACCAAACGGGGTGATCCAAACCTCCATGGGGTGAAACTCCACTCTTGGCAGGCATGAACAGAATAAGATTAGCAAAGAAAAGAGAAAAACAGCAGCCAATAGCTCCCTTCCTCTGTCAAGGTCATGCTAAGAGCAGGACAGGCTGGCAGTCCTGTGCCAAGAGGGCACCCAGGAGCCCCTATTTCTGGCCCCCAGGAAGCAGAGGGCTTTCAAGTTAAGTCAAGCAATACTGGGTCATTGCTGGTGGCCAACTGTTCTCTGAATGACAGTGACTACGTTTAAGATGCTTTTTATCAGGAGACCTTGAGCCTCTGCCCGAAGCAGCCCTATTTGCAGCCCAGCCCTTCTAAGGCTGTTCCCTGGGGACCTCCTGAGCTGGCCAACCTGTGTCCCTGTCCTCGCCTGGTGCCCAGCTCTACCACTCTTGCTTCTGCACATGCTCTGTGAACCCCCAAGGCACCCAAGCATGGTCGCTTGCCAGCCCCGCCTCCCCAGGGTACGCCGGAGAACGAGCACCAGCTGCTCAGGCCACGGGCAGAGCAAGGCAGGGGAGGCTGCCAGCCACGGGCGAGGCAGGGGCTGTGGCCTGTGCCATCAGACTCCCAGCAGCACCCCTGCTGCCTCCAGACAAAGCCGGAGACCTACAGGCTGCCTCTGGGCTCGACAGAGCCTCTTAACTAAGCATCTTTCCCCATGAGACCAATCTGATTACAAATACACAAAACATTCGGGGACATCCCAGCCAGTCAGCAAGGTCTCACTGCCTGGCTCCAGCCAGGGCCCAGGGCTGCGTGTGGCGGCGGCTGGGCCACTGGCCACAGTCCCTGCTGCCGGGCCAGACACTGCCACACAGAGGCCCCTCAGCGACACTCCTGGGCACTCCAAATCACCAAGAGGCAGAAAGAACTCTTCCAGAAAAATTCCAGCCCAAATCACACTCCCCAAGAAAACAAACCCTGCTTTTGCAAAGACTTCAACTCGCCTATCAGAATCCACGGCCGGCGCGGCAGTTCTAGCCGCGCCTAAAGCTGTCTAAGGCACTTGAGTGGCTTATTGCCATCACCTGGAAAAGCTTCTGTTCCAATCCTGATTTAGAAAATAAATTCAGTAATACTGCAAAAAAAGTTTCCTTAAAAAATACCTTTAAAAAAAAGTAAATACTTAAGTTTTCTAAGAAATAAAATAAACACTAAGCTCTGCTTAAATTATATGACACAATGGATCACCTTGGCACTGATAAAAACCTGAAATACTGCTTCTGAATTCTAATTTTCCCTGGGAAAAAAACCAAACACACAAACAAAAGACACGTTCTGAGCTTCACCTCCCCGGGGTGCCCCAGGGAAGCGTGGCCAGAGTCGCCCGGGCCTGTGGAGGGGGCGGCCCCGCAGACCCGGTGCCCCTTTCCGCAGGGCTGCTCTCTCCTCTCGGGGTGAGCAGGTGCGGCCAACCAAGGCATACCTACCTGTCAGCACAAAGCCTCCCCACCCACCCCCGTGAGGAGAAATCCAGGCTGACACCCTGCCTGTGCGCACAGCCCTGGGACGCGCTTGAAGAAGTCTGTGGCTCCTGGGTGGGCTGGAGGGGCCCACCCCCACGACTGCGTTGCTCCACCACACAGCAGTGTCTTTGGTTTGGCTCCCGCCAGGCACCTATGGCCTCTGGTCCCATCCCTGGCCCAATGGGAGCCAGGAGCAGGAGCTTGTCCCTTTTCTGGGCCACCTTCTCTTCTTTGGTGAGGCCTCCCCGGGTTCCTTCTGCTCAGTGCAGTTCTGCAGCCACCAGGACAGGCCGTGGCAAGCACCTGGAGTGCTGGGGAAAGTGCTGTGTGGGTGGCCACCCTGCCCACTGCCGCCTGCCCTCCCGGGACTCTGAGGGGCGCCAAGCAGGGGCCGGGACCACCTAGCTCCTCCGTGGAGCCTCGGTGGTCTGGGGCTCTGAGAGGCCAGGGGGCAAGTCGCAGCTCCTCCCATTTGCCTGGGAGTCCCCTGACCCCTGGACCCCACCCTCCAGCAGCTCTTGGGGGTCCCTGAGGAAGACCACCATGACTGTGATGTTGTCGTGGGAGCCGCGCTCCCGGGCCTCAGCCACCAGCTCCTCAGCGGCACGGAGCCCGCTGCCCTGCTGCCTAACCAAGTGGCTCTGCACGAGGCCTGCGACTTCCTGGTGGGGGACGAAATCGAAGAAGCCATCACAGGCGAGCAGCAGGTAGTCCTCGGAGCCCGTCAGCTCCCGGGAAGCCACATCTGCCTCCCCGGACACATAGGGCTTCTGGAAGACGTCCCCTGGGTGTGGAGAGAACAGCCTTGGTGAGAGGACCCGGTGTCAGCCACTTCCTCCCCATCTGCCCAGGCCCCGCCCCACCGCTGGTCACCCCTGCCCTGACAGCCCCCAGTGCCCTGTGGGTATGGAGACCAGCCTGTTCTCCCAGGGTCTGTCGCTCCCTTATGCAATGACCCAGAACCCCGGGCTGCAGCCTGTGAGCCCCCAACACTGCCCTGGCGTGTCCCAAAGACCCAAAGCCAGGAGCAGGGTGAAGACGGGCTGTAAAGAAGGACAGAGGATTTCAGTTCAGGGGGGTCAGAGGGACAGATGTCAAGTCCCAGGCACTTGGTTGGGGAGGGAGGGAGGTGTGGTTGCCAAGCGTCCAGGCCGGGCTGAGACCTGGGAAAATGGGATCTGGGGGAGGAGGCTGCTATTTTTTTTTTCCAAAAGAGAAAAAAGAATCGCCTGCATGAATGTAGGGGAGACGAGGATAAACCTCATTTATAGAACATTTAAGACTTTTCTTCTAGTGCAGAGGAGAGCTAGCCGAGGGATTCCTACCAGATTTCGGGGGAGCTATTCTAATGAAATACTACACAGTAGAACTTAAACTGTGATCGTTTGTATGAGAAGAAAGTTTCTCAGGTGCTCGCAGCTGCAGTCCCCGAATCTGTCCCATTCCCTCATGATATGACGGAAGACGTCACCCTAGTAAGGGGCAACCCCTTCTCAGCACCCCACACTGCCGTCCCCAACCCCCGGTGACCAGGGGCCATGGTCTGGAGGCCTGGGCTGCCGGGTGGCCGCTCCCTGCCCGAGCCCACCTCCTCAGCCCTCACCGATGGCTCTGGAGACGGCCAGGGTCCCGTTGACTCTCCAGCAGTCCATGTGCGACACAAAGCCACCCAGTGCCTCGATGCGCGCCTTCTCGTCCTGTGGGGAGACGCCAGAGCTGGGTTTTGGCGAGCGGGCAGGGTGGGGGCCAAGGCCCACCTGGGCAGAGAGGCCACGCTTTCCAAACCGGCGCTCTCGGCCACAGCGCTTGAACAAAGCCAGGAGGTTCAGAGTCGCACTTAAATTAGGTGTCATTAAAAACAGCGAGAAATTATAAATAGCCCAAACGTCTATCGGTTGCAGGAACAGCTACACAGATGGACCACGCAAGGTTGTCGAGCAACAGACACGAGCCCCAGACACAGACCATGGGTCCCTCAGCTTCCCTGTCTAACTTGGGGACACTGTCCCTACCTTGGAAGCTGCTGGGGCAACAAGATAAAGCGTGTGACATGTGCGACCATACGGCAGGGCCCTGACAGAGGCCTGTGCTTGCTCAGTTACTGTCCTCCCCAGCCCGAGCTCAGCCCAGGCTCGGCCTCTGCTAGCCAGAACACAGGACGGAGGCTCGGTCCAGCCGCAGCCCCTCTGGAACCCACCTTGGTCCTGTCAGGTCCCTAGAAGGAGAGGCTTCCCAGACACGGGCCTGCTGCCCACAGGCCATCAGAGCGCGCCCAGGAAGCCAGGGGAGCCGGGCGCCTCACGGAGGCTGGGGACGGAGGGCATCCTTCATCCCTACCTTGCTTGTCGGGTAAACCTCCTAACCCCACAAACGCCCGGAGTGACAGCAGCTCCAGCCCTTCTGGGCCCTGGGATGTGGCAGCAGCTGGGCGTGAGAACTGAGGCCCCAAGGGGCATTGTCCCCTGGACAGATTGAGATGGCAGCCCGGTCCCCTCCCCAGGGTATATGCAGACCCACTTCTGGGGAACCGAGGGACGGAGCCCTCCCTTCAGATGCTGGCACCAAGGACCACTCCTTCCTGTGTGGTTCCCTGGCAGAGGGTGTCACAGTGGGGACATGCGGGTTTGCGGGAGCCCCCGATGCCAAGCGCCCACTGCACGTGCCTGCAATGGACTGGACCCACGCCTGGCGGGCCGGGCGCCCTGTCACTAGAAGCCATCACCTGCTCGAGCTGAGCTGGGGAGTTCACGTAAAGGAGGCAGGACCAGGGGCCTGGAAGGCTCCTCTGGGTCTGAGATCCCCACCCTGCGGCCTGAGAAAGTCAAAGGGACCAGGGAGGAAGAGGGAGGAGTGGGCTGAGTAGAGGGCAGGAGAGGAAGTGAGCGACGGACACATGCTACGCACATGTTTACACACGTGTCCACACACACCCATGAAGACGCCCACAGACCAGCAAGGCATTGCACATGGGTGCAGCACCCCCACCCCTCAGAGGCTTCCCTCGGGAAGGGCTGTGAACACAAGGGCCCCCAGCCTATGCCGTGGGAGGACGCAGTTGAGAATCGTGAGCCTTTCTCTGCTTCTGTCTCCCACACTCTCCAGCCCACCCAGCACTCCATGCTGCCAGGCGGGGAGAGTGGGTGGGTGACGGAGGACGCACGCCAGCTGCTCCTCGGGGGCCCCTCGAGGTGTGGTGCACAGCCCACACCCGGCCGCCTCTGCCTGAGGGCAGAAGGGACCCACCCACCAAAGCCCCCCTTGGGGTGGGGTCTCCCCTTGCAGCCAGGGAATTGGGCTTTCTGAAGCTCCGAACCGTCCTTCCTGAAGCCCCGACCCTGTGGCAGATGGCCATGGGGACAGGGCTTAGCTGGAAGGTGGGAGGACACGGGGCCATGGGAGCTGCGACCCCCACTCTGACCACGAGCCCAGTGCCCTGTGCTGGATGGGCCGGGCCAACCCCTCTGTCCAGGCTGCCCGGGCTCCGGGCCCCAGAGCCGAGCTGAAGCAGACCCCCGGCCGCCAGCCTGCCCTCTACTCGGGGTCTGCACTGGGTCCTCTGCCCCTGCCACAGCTCCCACCTCCCTCCTCACGCTGCTTGGCCAGGCTTGGTGCAGAACAGGTGTGTCCCTGGGCTCTCCTGTCTCCTCAAGAGCTACTTGGCGGCTCTTCTCTGCTTCTCCCACCTCGTCCTCCCCTCGCCTGAAACAGCTCCTCCCTGCCCACCCCCAGCAGCGGGGGCTCTGCACAGAGAGGCCCCAGCAGCAGTGACCAGCAGCACTGCCACCCTCTCCGCCGCCCAGCACTCTGCGGCGTCTCCACCCCAAAGCCGTGCCTGCTCCTTCTCCCGACTGGCCTGCCCCGTCTCGAGACTGCCTTCCTGGATTCCCACTTCCGTGACCCAGCCCTCAACACATGCTTTGGTGGTCTGGTCACTGCAGAACCTTCTAGTGATTTCTTGCAAGTTCCTCCGGGCCCAGGGTAGCCCCGGCTCCTCCCGCCACAGGAGCAACAGGCCTGGGTCTTCTTCCCAGTCCCCTGTGAGTCTCTCACCCATTGGCTCTGGCCCGACCTGCCCTTTCCTCCCGGCCTCTCCCCAGGGCCTGCTGGAGTCACACCTGCCGTCGGGGTCTGGCTTCAGGCCCCGCTAGCTTTGCCTCTCTGCTGCATCCTCCTGGCACCCTGCCCGCGCCGCGCTCTTGCCCACCTCACCCGCATCTGACCTCCAGGCACTGGGGGGCAGGAAGCGGGTCCTGTTTTGTTGCCTCGCTGCCTCGGCAAAGCACCTTGTGCAGAGAAGGCATCAAACACGCGTGGCCTGATAGAGCCCGGCGGCGGGACAGCCTCTGCTCTGACAGCTGCAGAACGAGGCAGAGCAGCGCGGCCCCACATGCTCCGCGGAGCTGCTTCTGGCAGCTGCTGGGCCCTCGCAGAAGCCCGCCAGGGTGTTACCAGTTTCCCACCCTCATAACTGGTGCAGTGACGCCCGTTTCTGTGGGAGAACCTCTGCAGGGATCACTCCTCCGTGTGGGGGGCGGGCTGCGGGCAGGATCATGGGGCGAGGACATGAGCCTGGCAGGCGGCTGGCAGGGCCAGGAGGGAGTTGAGCAGCTCATCTCTGTGTCCCCTGAGGGCTGCAGATCAAGGAGGAAACAGACACTTGTGTGCTGCTCCTGCGCAGGCAGTGACTCAACACTCCGTGATAACCTGCCACTCCCCAAACCTCCTGGTGTGACAGTCTTGCAGGGGTGGAGCCAGGACCACCCAAGGCCATTGGTCTGTGCTCTCTGCCATGGTGCCGCACTGCAGGGCTCAGTGTTTTGAGAAAAAGTCCCTGCCCGGCTGCAGAGGCAGCAGGGGTGTAGGCAGCCAGGGCAGGGCCCCAGCACCCTGAGCAGAGGTCTGCAACTTGTCCTAACCTGGCCACATTTCACCGGGCTGGGGCTGCACGTTTTGGGGAGAGCTCACCAGGGGAGCAAGTGCCAAGTCCCTCCCAGTGGCAGTGGCAGCAGAGAGGCAGAGTCTGCCTGCCACCTTGGCTGTGCGCTCTGGGCAAGTGACTGGATTTCTCTGAGCCTCAGTTTTCTCCCCTGTACAATGAGGAGAGCAGGTGGAGGCGACTCAGCCCAGACTGCGAGCTGCAGCGAGAGGCCCAGGAACACAGCCATCCCTGACCGTCAGGGCGACCAGTGTCTGGCAAAAACAAAGCTTCCTCCCGGCAAAAACAAAGCTTCTGTCCGGCAAAACCTTGTACACAGAGACAAAAGAGAAACAACCAATAGGGAAACATTCGCAAATCATCACAGACCAGGAGCTAACGTCCCTAATATAAATAAGGTGCCTACAAATTGATAAGAAAAACAGGCACGGGACAGGAACAGAGCGTTCACGGGAAACGCGATGTAAACAATCTCAAAGTCGTGAAAAGATGCTCCCGCTCACCCTGAAAAGGCTCAGCACACTCGGCAGCTGCCCTGAGACAGCTTCTCATCTCTCAGCAGGCAGAGTCCCACGGGTTGGTGGGACCCCGGGGAAGGGGCCCTCCTGGTGCCCTGTGCCACACAGGCTGGCACAGCCCAAGGGGGCAGCTAGGCAAACCCACCCGGACTGCGCATGCATCTGTTCCAGCCACCGTCACACTTCCAGGGACGTGTCCTTCAGAAACACTCGCCTCTGAATGACCTCACGCACAAAGTCATGTGCTGCTGCATTGTTTTTAGCACCAAAACCTGAAAAGTTCTCAGTGTCCATCCAAGGGGACGATGATGAGCAGAACGACGGGCAGCCCCAGGCAGCACAGGAGCTCTGCGTGCTGACGTGGCACTGTCCACCAGGGGCACAGGGAAGTGAGGGCGTGTGAGGAGGTGGGGGTTGGTGGGGTTACGGAGGTACCCCTTGACATTCAAATGCAAGCGATCAGACCTTGGGGGACAGGCCAACTGGACACTTCTGTGAGATGTGGTCCGAGCAGGATCATCATCCTCATGTCCGGGAGAGGACCCCAAGGTCCAGGCAGGGAGTGACCGCAGAGTCTCAGGGTGCCAGCACAGCCCCAAGCCCGGCTCCTTCTGGCCCCATGCAGTGCCACCTCCTCCTGGGGTCCTCCTTGCCACAGCCTGTGGTCGGCTGCTCCCTGCCCATGTGCCTGCCAGGGACTCAGCACTGAGCCGAGTGACCCCCTTCCCTGGGCTGCTGCCAGGGCAGAGCTCTCGGGAAGGGCTCACTCGAGACCCCCTGGCCACTCACGTGGGCAGGGAGCCCTCCCTCCGGAGGGTGCCAGGATTAGCACTTCCTGAGGTGCCCAGACTGGGTCCCCCTCGAGGGCCCAGTGTGGCGGGGCCTGGGAACTTCCTGGGCTTGGACAGAGGGAGCCTTTTACCTGTCGCTCAGGTCTGTGTGGCTCCATCAGCTTCACCACCTGTCCCTGCTGCACCAGGAGGACCTGGGAGTCCCCGAGCCAGGCGACGTGCAGGGCCGTCCCCGCGATGAGCGCGCACACGCCTGTGGTGCCGCTCTGCAGCCGCTGTGGGGAGAGAGGCCGCGCGGCGTGAGGTGGGCCGGCGCCCACCACCGGCACACACGGCCCCCCCCACCGCCTCAGCGACAAAGGCCGCTGGCCCGAGCCGAGCAGCGGCAAGAAGACGCTCCTGACGCCCGCGCCGCGTGGACGGGAGCACGTCCGCAGCGTCCTGCTCACGCAGGCCTGCGCGAAGGTGGGCGAGAGGCTGTCCGGGGAGCGGACAGGGAAGGGCGGGAGGGCAAAGCCAACGGAGGGCCGGTGACGAGCGTGTCGGGTGACGAGCGTGCCGGGCGCTGTGGTGAGGGCACCGCAGCTGTATACACTGCTTAAGCCCAAACGCCAAATCGCACACCTGAAGTGTACACAGCTTACTGCATGCCGGTGACATCTCAAGAAAGCTGTTTAAGGGAAACAACACACTGAACTGAACACCTGCTTCGGAGAACCCTTTCCCTACTCTAGAGGCAGCCCTGTCACCTCCCGGGTGTCAGCCTTTCACTGGCTGCCCTGTGTGGCTGGGGACACCGCACGGCTCCAGCTGAGACGCAAAGTCTGGCTTCTCCAGTTTCCGTGAAGGTCTGTGCTCAGGCCATGGGAGGGCGGCGCACGTCTCCCCACTGGGCAGGTCTTTTAAATAATCAGAGCCTCAGTTTTCCCATGTCTAAAATGGACACAATATTAGTCTCCACCTCATAGGGCTACCAGGAAGACCCCGGGAAATTCTGCAGATAGGTTCAAAGGCAAAGCTCACAGGGAAGGGGCTGTTGTCTCTGTGTTCTTTCTTCTTTCCGAGACAAAGGTCTCATCCCTACACGTGGCTATAAACCCTGAGGAAAGAGTGTCCCTAGCAGACACCAGGGGCCTGCTGGGACCCCGCTTAGAAGAGCAAGTAGAAATGGGCAGTGCACAGACTCTGTTTTCACTTCCTGTACTTCATGATGCTTCCATACCCGCGGCCTTGCTGATGTGGGGAGACTGCCCCCCAGGGCTGGCTAACTCCTAGAGGTTGAGGAGGAACAGGGAAGGCTCCAGCCAAGCTTCCCCCTTTCCCCTCTCATTCCTGCCTGACCCTGCAGCTTCCCTGCACAGCATGGCATGGCGTGGCGTGCCCCTCCTCTTAGGAACTGTAAGTAATAAACTCTTCTTGCAAGGCACTGGTCTCTGTCACTTTGCCATGCCCGATTAAAACAAAATCCTGGGAACATTTTAAAACAGGCTATCCTTCCCCACACGGCCCGCAGACCCTCTGCAGCGGGCAGGTCCATGTGGCCGAGGGGCCCAACATGCGGGACCGGAGCAGGCTTTGTGCCGCTTCTGTTCACACAAGAAGGAGCCGCCTCACTGTGAGAAGGAAATGACGTGATCTCCAGCAGTGTGCAGTGGGGACCTTCGGGAGCAGCAACCACTTGGGTTTCCTTCCCTTGGCAGAGGCTGGGCCTCTCCACCGGCCTCCAAGCTGCACCCGAGGCCTGGCTGCTGGTTCTTACCTCTCGCTTGGCTTTCCTGAGAAACATCCGGTCGGTGAGCCGGAAGGCTTCCCTGAGGGCTCCCTCGGGGTCCATGGGCAGTTCTGGTTGGCGGGCAGCGTTGGCGTGCACGTGGACAGCGGCGTACCTCGCGGCGTCCACCCCTCCGTGACCGTCAAACACGGCAAAGTAGGCGCGGTCCACAGGGTCCTGCCGGGGAAGGCAGTGGGAGTCACAGAACCCCTGGCCTTGCACCAGCCACTCCTGTGTGGGGAGGGGCTCAGGCACTGGGCGAGGAGGGTCTGGAAGAATCAGCAGGGCCTTCGCCCGCACCACGGCTGCCTGGCGCCTGCACTGTGAGCAGGGAGACCTGGAAGAGGGTGACCCTTGGGAGCCTCAGTTACCATATGCACCCCATTGCTACCAGCATAAAACAAGGGGAGGGGCCCCAGGTGGCTCCCAGTGCCAGAGGCCGAGCAGAGCTCTGCAGTCCTGGGCTTGGGTGAACTTGGCACTGGGACGGTGAGCCGGGCCTCCCAGAACCGCTGGGAGGGGCCTTGGCAGCTGCCTGCACTTCCTTCCTGAGATAGCAGCTGACGAGTGTCTTTCAGGCCTGGGCCTTGGAGGGCAGCTGTCCTTGGCACCCGGGGGCCCTAGCCCCTGCTCCGGCCCTCTGAAAGCTATCCCTGGGGCCCTGCAGGGGAACACTCACGGACAAGCCAAAGAGCTGGTTGAAGGCGGGAAGGGCCACGTGCCGGTCCTCCATCTTGCGGCGAGTGTTCCGGATGGCGTGGACGGACACCAGCCACTGCCGCTGCGGCGGCGTCCGGGTGGTAGGCGGTACCTGCTTCTGCCACTGGCTGGTGACTTCCCAGAGCAGGTTAAAGAAACTCCGTGCCAGGCCTTGGGCATCCAGCACTGATGGGCACAAGGGAGGGAGGGTCGGGGCCGTGGCCACCCGCCAGCTGAGGTTCCCGCTGCCCCGTCCCTGCTGTCCAGGCAGCTACCACCACCAGCCGGCACAGGCGCCACCAGCCATCCCCTCCATGTGCATTCTGAGCACACGAACCTAACAAGCTACGCCTGGAAGAGTCTGTCATCACAATTAGAAATGTCTGGTTTGGCAATATGTCCCAGAGGGCACCCGCCCCACGATGGAGCAACTCCACTCACGGGAACCCACCCTAAGGAATCAATGGGAAAAAAAATACTTTCAGGACAAAGTACAGAATCATTTTAAATTGCCCATTAATTAGAAATAATCTATCTCTGATGACAGAAGAATGATAAGTAAATTATGGACTATTCTCTCCATGATGAATTAAGCTATTAAAAATGATTTTCACAACTAAACATGCAACTACCATATGACCCAGTAATTGGATACCTAGGCACTTATCCCAGAAAAGTGAAGATTATGTTCACACAAGAACTTGTACATGTTCACAGCAGCTTTATCTGCAACAGCCACAATCTGGACTCAGCCCGGATGTCCTTGAACGTGTGAATGGCTCAACAACCTGTGGTCCCCCCATACCTTGGAACACTACTCAGCGAAGCAAGGAGTGAACTCCAACCTGGTTTCAGCTCCAGAGAATTATTCGGGTGAAAAAAGCCAATCTCCCATAGCCATACATTTATAAGCATTCTTTGTGGAGTTTTTTGTTTGTTCATTTTTGTTTTTTTTAGAAATGCAGTCTCACTCTATCACTCACGCTGGAGTGCAGTGGCGTCACCATAGCTCACAACAACCTCAAACTCCTGGGTTTAAGCAATCCTCCTGTCTCAGCCTTCTGAGTATCAGAGACTACAGGTGTGCGCCACCATGCCCAGCTAATTTTTAAAAATTTTTTTCTAGAGATGAGGTCCCCTTATGTTGTTCAGGCTGGTCTTGAGCTCTCAGCCTCAGGCAATCCATCTGCCTTGGCCTCCCAAAGTGCTAGGATTACAAGTGTGAGCCACCATGTCAGCCTTCTTTATTGAAATGTCAAAATTATAGAAACAGAGATTAGTGGTTGCCAGCGGTTAGGGAAGGTGGATGTGGGTGGGGGTAGCATCAGGGTGGCCATGAAAGGGTGACATGAAGGATCCTTGTTGATGGAGACAGAGCAGAGATTGAACTGTTCTATATTTTGACTACCTTAAGCCCCTGGTTGTGATATTTTATTATAGTTTCATACAATGTTACCACTGTGAAAAATTGGGTGAAGTGTACATGGATCTCTTCACTTTCTTTCCTCTCCCCTCTCTCCTCTCATCACTCGAGCTCAGGGAGGGCAGCTCTATGCTGGGAGGACGCTCAGGTGGTCCTGTGAAGAGTCCACCTGGGAAGGGACTGACGCCTCCCGCCAGCAGCCAGGTGCCCGCAGCACCTGGGAAGCGGCTCCTCCAGCGAGCTGGCGCCGGGTGAGCACAGCTCTGCACAATGCCCTGGGCCCAAACCACCCAGCTGAGCCGCCCCAACTTCCAGACCCACGGAGGCTGTGGGAGAATGAGTATCTGCGTCCCAAGCCACTGTTTTGGGACAATTTGCTATGTAGCAACAGACACATCCAAGTCCGACGTAAGGCCGGCTTCTGAAGGAAAGATCAACGGGGAATAGGTCCAGAGGAGCTGTAGGACCCAGTCACCTCCGCGCACAGAGCCCTCCTGGGACTCCTGGCGGTCCAGGTGTGTGTGGCATGCACAGGTGCGACAGGGCCAGTCACCTGAGGGGCTCAGGGTTAAGTAACTGAACACAGGGCAGAACCCAAGTGTCGAGGACCACACCTGAAGGACACCGGGAATTGAGAGAAGGGTCCCTGCCCACTGGTGGTGGCTGGGGAGAAAAGGAGCCCGACCGAGGGTGGAGGGGACACCACCTGGAAAGAGCCACGAGCCCGAGGGGTGGTGTGCACAGGAGGCCACAGGAAGACAGCCACAGGGAACCCATGAATCACGGTGGGCTGGGGTGTCTAGAGCTGACTGCTGTCAGCACACCCAGCACACAGGCCCATTCAAGCACTCAGCAAGAACGTGGGCCCAGGCCGGGCGCGGTGGCTCACGCCTGTAATCCTAGCTCTCTGGGAGGCCGAGGCGGGCGGATTGCTCAGGTCAGGAGTGTGAAACCAGCCTGAGCAAGAGCGAGACCCCATCTCTACTATAAACAGAAAGAAATTAATTGGCCAACTAATATATATAGAAACAATTAGCCGGGCATGGTGGCGCATGCCTGTAGTCCCAGCTACCCGGGAGGCTGAGGCAGGAGAATAGCTTAAGCCCAGGAGTTTGAGGTTGCTGTGAGCTAGGCTGACGCCACGGCACTCACTCAAGCCTGGGCAACAAAGCGAGACTCTGTCTAAAAAATAAATTAAAAAAAAAAATAAAAAAATAAAGAACTTGGGGCCTGGCAGGGCCAGACTGCGGGGCCGTGGATGTAGGAGGCACAGGAGAACGGATGCCAGTGGGTCCAGCTCAGGGGAGGCAGCTCCACGTGTGTCTGATCCGTGCATTTGTTTTATGCCAGCAGGTTTCGGGGAAATTTGTTATGTAGCCACATACACACCCCGCCAACCATCGGGACGCTCCCAGTCCTCATGGTGCTGCCTCTCCTGCCCTCCTCTTCCTCTCCTCTGTGGACACTGTGCCACAGGCTCCGCTCTGCTCCCTCTGGAGACCTCTGGCTCCTGACGCTTGCCCGGCCTGAGACCCCCAGGGAGGTGTCCGGGCTGCTGCCGCCATTCACGCTCCCGCCTCAGGCTGTGCTGCTGCTACTCCATCAACCCGCCTGGACTTGACTCTGCCCGGGCAGAGGGCACTGCTGAGGCGAGGTGCCAGCCCACAGACACCCGAGGCCAAGACTGCAGCCCTGGTGCCCATAGGAACTGCTCCTGGAGTTTTTCCTGATCACTATCGTCGAGGGGCCGGCTGGTCGCACAGGAGGTTTCAGCCACATCTCTGCCCTGCAGTGGTGACTCTCACCGTCCCCACCCTTGTCCTGACGCAGCGTCCACAGACTTGACTATGTTGACTACACTGACAGGAGGGTGTGATCGAGGCTTAGCCCAGGCCACTGGGGAGGGTTCGCAGGCCTGCAGGAGCCCCAGGTGTAGGACGCAGTTGGTGCCGGCTGCAGCAGTTCTCCTTCCCACCAGCAGGTGACACTGGAGGGGCACAGAAGCCAGCGGGCTGGGCGGGGCTGGGTGGTGGAGGTGCTCCCTTTGTGTGGGGTGGAGCCAAAGCTGGGGAGCAGCAGCAGCCCCCGGCTGGACGCCTGCTGGCTCTGCGGAGAACAATGGCTGCCTGTCACTGCAGGCAGCTGTCCCTCAGGCTGTGTGGGCGGACAGGGAGCCAGGGAGGAGGATAGGGGACCAGGGCAAGGAGAACGACTTGGCAAGGCTTTGTTCTTTACTTTGCCTCACAGCTCGCACCACACCGATGCTGAGTTTAGAGTAAAACGGCCAGAAAGGCACAGTCGAGGGAAAGAACCCACCATCTAGATCCAATTCAGATCCATCTCGAGTGGCCGGGGTGCCTGTTGGGGGATTTTCAGCTGGGCGCTCCCACCCTGAAGGTCCCCCCTGGCCCTGCAGCCTTTGACTCTCACTGCCTGGACTTCTGGTCCAACACAAACCAAAACTTTGTCGAAACACAATAAAAAGGAATTATCAGTAAAATGAAAGCAAGTCATGCCCTGCTGTTTTATGATTACATTCTCTGTCAAAGGGTTCTGCGGGCCTCTCACTGCTCCCTCCCCAGTTCCGGGTGCCTCTGGCCAGGAGCAGGGCTAGAAGGCTTATGGACAGTCTCCACACAATGGGGTCCTGACTCAGGCCAGCGGAGGCAGGCGGCTCTAGCGCTGATGTTTTCTCCTGTCCAGACGATAGATAATGCCACGCTGTGAACCCACTGATGTGCCAGCCTGCTGACTCAGACCTGGCCCGCCTGGGCGCACGTGAACGAGGTGGAATGCCAATGCATTTGAACTTGGCCGCCCGACTGTGAGTTAGCCTTTCTGGTTTCCTCATGTGTGAAACAGGACAAACAGCGTTCGTTTCCTGGGCTGCTCTGAAACCTCAGTGAGAGTGGACACAGGAGGGTCCCTGCACCCCCAGACTCGTCTCACATGCTGCTGTGTCCAGCACTCTCTGCATCTTGATTATGCCGCCTGTCCTGAGCCAGTGTCCGGGGTACCGACAACGTGCTCCCCACGACAACATCACCCCGTGCCACCTGCTGAGCAGCCCCGGGGCAACCTCAGAGGAAAGAGAACTCACAGATCACAGTGGTCTCCTCCTCCTCTTCTTCCTCCTCCTCCTGCCTGGGCAACTTCCTAAATTCCGAAAGGTCCGTTTGTAGCAGCCGGGAAACTGCCTCGCGGGCCAGGGACGCAGCAAGAGGCAGCGGAGCGTCCCTAGGGATGAGAAAGGAGAAGTGAGGCTGGGGCCTCCTGGCAGGAGCCAGGCCCAGCACCTGCCCTGACCGTCAGCCACACGCCACAGGGCCACCAAGCAGGGTGGCCTCTGTCCTCGGGGAGCTGGGACTGGCGCTCACACAACACGCTGAGGCAGACACACAGCACTTCCAGCAGGCTGAGTGGGGGTGGGAGTGGGGGCTGTTCCAGAGAATAAGAACCGTGTCCTCAGCCTCGGTGGCTGAGCGACCTGCCTGGCAGCCAGGCTGATGCTGGCTCCTGGTCCATGTGCCCCAGGGCAGAGGGAGTCACCCACACCAGCTGGGGACCCCCTAGGGTTCATAGGTGTGTTATGGGTTGAACTGTGTCCCCCCAAAATTCATATGCTGAAGCGCGAATAACCAGCACCTCAGAATGGGCCCCTATTTGGAAATAGGATCATGGCAGATAGAATGAGCTAAGATGAGGTCATATCGGAGTCGGGTGGGCTCCTTCTCATATGATTGGCATCTTTATAAAAACGTGGAAATTCAGACAGACACACACACACAAGGAGAATGCTGTGTGAATATGCGGTAGAGACCCTGGGTGAGCCTAAAAGCCAAGGAAGGCCAAGCAAAGATGGCCCCAAACCACCATAAGGAACCAGACCTGCTCCCCCCGCAGCCCCCATTGCAGACTTCTTGTCTCCAGAACTGTGAGGAGACAGGTTTCCGTTGGCTAAGCCACCCAGTCATTCCTATGGCGGTCCCAGGAAACTGATCTCAGGCACGAGCCCCGTGGGCGCACACGGCAGAGGGAGCCGCAGTGCACGGCCTGAGGGTCCCTGGGCAGATGGGCTGTGGGGCTGGTGGGCCAAGCTGTGTGGCAACAGGGAGCCACCGACTGTGGTCTGTTTTGAAGAGGGACGTGGCAAAATAGGATCTTTGACCCTGGCGTGGAGGGTGGGCTGAAGGGTGGGGCTGGCGGAGGTGGTGACAACTGTCCTGGGGATAGAGGTGGAGGCCTGAGCTGGGCAGGGCCGTGGTACTGGGCAGGGCCGTGGTACTGGGCAGGATGGGACAGAGGAGGGACATGAGAAGGAGGGGCATCAGGGGCTGGGTGGGGGAGGCACAGGGACAGTGTCAATGCAACTGAAGGACAGTGGTACAATTAATCGCCCCAGCGGGGACAGAGTTGGGCTTGGCAGGGCACGGTGATGGGTTCCATGTCCAGGGCGATCCTCAGGTTGCTCAGAGGCTGAGTGGCCTAGGGGCTGCAGCACGTGGTCTGGGTGGGAGATGCGGCTATGGAATGAAGGGGTAGGGAGCCGGGACCCACAGGAACTTGCCCGCCCGGGAAGAGGGCCAGGGCGAGGCTGAGAAGTGGGGACGACCCCACGGGTGTCCTCCTGGGGGCCTTGGAGGAGGAGTTCTGAGAAGTGCGCCATGGTCGCCCGCTCCAAACGTCAGAGAGCAGAGCTGAGGAGTGGAGGCGGCGTGGGTGGGGTGGAGAGGGTGGTCACCACAGACCCAGAGCACACGGAGGAGACGAAATGCCAGCCCCGAGCCGGGGCCTTTGGCAGGCGGGTGGTGGGGAAGGAAGCCGAGGGGCAGGTTGGGGGCAGTTTGGGGATGGAGAGAGTTGTGGCCGAGGAGAGCAGTGCTGGGGACTGTCCGGTGACCGTGCACCTTTCCACGCCCATCCCCACCCCTCCAGACCTGGCTCAAACACCACATCTGCGGGAAGCCCAGGGGGAAAGAGTCGCCCCTCCTGGTGCCCGTACAGCCTCTGGGAGGCATCCTGACCCCGGAATCTGCAGCTCCACCCAGCAGGGGCCCCTGGAAGCTGGGTGACATGCATTTACCCTGTGTGCCTGTCCCAGTGCATGGGGGCAGCCTGGGGGCAGCCAGGTGATTCTTTGTTGGGCTGACACTCCTGGTTATGACTGGAGGGTAAGGACGTTCTAATGGCCCAGGTGACGGGTCACGTCCTGCGGGGGCTGGGTGTCCCAGGCATCTACCAATGGTCTTAGGAATCTACTGGGATGAATTCCTGATATTTTAAAAAGAGAGGGTGACTCAGAGGAGAAGCCTCTGAAACTGCCTTTGAAAAACAACCAGCCAAGACAGGAGAAATGAGTTCCTCTGCTCTTTGGGGCTTTCCTGCCAACTGCTGGCTTTTCCTTTTTCATAGCAGGAAAAGGGACGCGTTTCCCCTCTGTGCCAGTGAGGTCATGTTTCCGCTTCCTGCCCACCCGCCACTGCTGCTGGGGGCAGGGACGCGGCTTCGGGCTGTGGGGACCCAGACAATGCCTGGCCATGGGCCACCAGCACCCCCTTCCTGGACTCAACTGCCATCTCATCCATGGGTCCCCCTCATCCATGGGCCCCACCTGTGGACATGCTCTGGAAGCCCTCAGTCCTGAGTCACTGCACCGTCAAAGTCAGCCCTGATCCTGGTCCCCTCAGGGTGGGGCTCTGAAACAGGGACAGAAGATGCTCAAGGGAACGGCTGAGGTTTGTGCAAGGACCAGGGACACAAGACACGAGAAATGCTACTCCTGCCTGGGGGTTACCAGGAGTTTACAGTCCAGTGGCAGAGATGAAAACTGCACTTATTAAATAAAATAATCACAGAGTAAGTAAGGCATGCACTGCTCAAGGACCCAAAGATGTGACACCAGAGATGTAACAGCAAGAGGGGAGATAGGACATCAATGGAGCCCACCCGGAGCCAGGTGATGTGACTCTGGAGTGTCAGAAAGGATGCCACTCGGCCGGGCGCAGTGGCTCACGCCTGTAATCCTAGCACTCTGGGAGGCTGAGGCGGGCAAGATTGCTCAAGGTCAAGAGTTCGAAACCAGCCTGAGCAAGAGCGAGACCCCGTCTCTACTATAAACAGAAATAAATTAATTGGCCAACCGATATATATAGAAAAAACTAGCCGGGCATGGTGGCGAGTGCCTGTCGTCCCAGCTACTCGGGAGGCTGAGGCAGGAGGACTGCTTGAGCCCAGGAGTTTGAGGTTACTGTGAGCTAGGCTGACGCCACGGCACTCGCTCTAGCCTGGGCAACAAAGTAAGACTCTATCTCAAAAAAAAAAAAAAAAAAGAAAGGATGCCACTCAAAATCTGCAAAGGAGCCCACAGACCAGTGTACTCGGGCTCTTCATACCCAAGGGCTCAAACCTGGACTGTGGGGATGGGGAACAGAGCATGAGGTGGCTCGTGGGAGCGTGGGGGTGTGCGCGTGCACAGGTGGACGTGGTGCAGACAACATATGAGATTCAGGCCCCAAGTGATGACCACACATATGAACAACCATGGCTGTATGTGAAAGAAAATATTAGAAAAGAACAAAAATAAAATAAATCTGTTAAGATGGCTAGGAAACATAAGGCCTCAAAGTGCTGCAATTCATCACACACTTGTGGAGCTAAGGCGGGTTCCGGCGCTGAGGAGGCCCACAGGGAACTGGTGCCACCCATCGCTGACCACCAACAGCCAACAGGGTTCTGGTTACGAAGAACGGCACAGGGACTTGTCTCAGCCGGGTCCGGTCTCTTGCCCATGCTTGGGCCGAGGAGCACCAGCCCTCCTGGGCCTGGCTTTCCTCCCTGCCGCCTGAGCCCCCAAGGCAGCGATGGCCCCTGGCCCCAGCGAGGGCCTGACCTGGCTGCAGATCTCCCTCCACTGCACAGCCTGCTCCCTGGCGAGGCTGCCTGCTCCTCTTGGGGAAGCAGAACCCCAGGGCCTCCCTCACCATCCTGCATGCAGGACCCCCAACAGGGTGCTCTGCCCCACCCTCGGGGGCCAGTTCACTTGATGTCACCTGTCTTTATCTTATTGCTGTTTTACAGATATGGTCTCACTCTGTCGCCCAGGCTGGAGAACAGTGGCATCATCATAGCTCACTGCAGCCTCTTACTCCTGGGCTCAAATGATCCTTCTGCCTCCGCCTCCCAAAGCCCTGGGATTACAGGCGTGAGCCACTGCACCCAGCCCCACTTGTCTTTAAAATGTTTCCTCACAACAAGGCAACAATGCCCTTTGCACATGTCACGCCCAGGTGATGTGGCCCTGGAACACCCACTGCCCATGCTCACACTGCACAGGGTACGCTGCCTCTACTGGGGCCTCAGGGTCCTGGCAAATAGGCCATCGCAGGACGTGCAGGGACGGAGCTGATCTGCCACAAGGGGCACAGGAAGCTCGTGCTCAGGGGACATGAAGACGGAGCCTCTGCTGGGGGGAAGCCATGGCTGAGGGCATGCCACAGCTTCAGAGGATGTGCGGACACCCCAAGGATGATGTGGGACTAGGGACCATGGGCATGGTGAGGGACTAGGTCTGCCGGGAGGCGGAGTGGCCTGCCAGCCCGCTTGCCCCTGTGAGCCACCCCTGTGCCAGACAGAGCAACCTGACCCCAAGACTCTGCAGCTATCTAAGCAGAGAGGGCCAAAGAAGAGACGTTGTCCTTCACTGTCTTTCGTGGGATAAGTGCTTCCAGAATGTAGCAATAAATGGAGGAGGGCCACAAGGCCCAGCCAGAGTTCTCAGAGGAGGGGACTCTGGAGGTCAGTCTGGGAAACAGCCACGCAGTCTGCCTGCACACAACTACTCTATCTGCCCTGAAATCTGCTAAGCTGCTTGTGTCTCCTCTCTGTACCTCCATTTCCTCCCCATGTATGACAGGGACAGCACCAAGCTACCTCTTGTGGCCTTGGTCCAGTCTCAACCTACTGACCTCTGCCTTGGTCTGTGCCACAGAACAGAAAGAAGACCTACTGCTTAGCATGTTATGTGTTAAATTGTGTCCCCAAAGATACGCTGAAGGTCCCAACCCCTAGTGGGTCAGAATGTGACCTTATCTGGAATTAGAGTCCTTGTGAACGTACTAGTTAGGTTAAAACGAGGTCACACTGCAGGAGGGCCTAGTCCTGTGTGGCTGGCGTCCTTACGTGAGTAGGAGTGACACGGGCAAGGCAGGGAGAGGCCTGAAGGAGCAGACGCATGGGGAGAGTCCGCGGGACACTGAGATCAGAGGGAAGGGTCCACCAGCCAAGGCCTGCCAGGAAGTCGGCACCAGACGCTAGGAGGAAGGCCCAGAATGGATTCTCCTGTTTGCTTTAAGAGAGTGAAGCCCTGCCGCCACCCCGATCCCAGACTTCGGGCTTCTAGAGCTGTGAGAAAACAAATTTCTGCAGTGTTAAGTGGCCTCTGTTGCAGCAGCCCTGGGAAGCCACACGACGGCGCCCGAGGGGACTCCTGCGAGGCCGGACGTGTGCAGTGGGCGGCAGGCGCGATGAGGCGAGCACGAGGCAGACACGCTGCGCCCCTCGCTGCCGGCCCTCCCAGGGCACACAGGCTCCTACCTGCTGCCCAGGAAGCCCACAGCCAGCTCCGCCAGCTCGGCCTCCACCTCCTCCTGGCTGAGTGCCGTCCCTGGGGCCTTCCACGGCACGGGGCTCTCCGGGCTCAGCGGGGCTGGGAAGTCTTGCAGGAGCGTGTCCAGGAAGCCCCAGGTCTCCTCTGCGCCACAGGCCATCTGGCTGCTCTTCTGGGGGGCTCCAGAAGCCATTCCCAGAGCATCCCGGGGGCTCGTGGCCTGGATGAGCGTCTGCCAGTCTTCACTCTGGGGAGAGATGTCAGTCAGCGGAATCATGGGGCAACAGGCATGGCAGTGCAGGGAGCAGGTGCCCTGATCTGACAACCCCCACCCCAGGCAAGCATCATGCAGCAGGTGCCACGCCAAGCCCTGGGCCTCACGGTTGAGAGGGTACAAGTCAGTGCAGTGACAACCCCGGCTGCTGTCATGACCAGGGCCCAAGGGGGGAAACGTGGGCACTCAGAGATGTGGCCTCAGGAGATGGCACCAGGAACAGAAGCTGTGTGCACATCTTGAAGGAAAAGTGACAGAGAAGGAAGGTGTGTTCCTGGCAGAGGGTGGCCAGTGTGGCCAGAGGTGGGCAGGACAGAGACACCTGGGCCAGGCACTGAGGCAGGTGAAGAGGCCCTACCTGATCTCGGGCCTTGGGCAGCCAGGAGGGCTGAGGTGACAGGGAGATGCCACCAGGTCTGTGAGCCTGGACATGGTGATCAGAAGGGAAGAGGGACCTGTCCTGGCTACAGCAGCAGCTTGGGGCAGGGAAGAGCAGGGCCAATGTGCAGGAGGGGCTGGTCCACAGCTGTCTGGGAGAGACCAGAGGGCAGGTAGTAAGGGCTCCCTAAAGGCTACATGAGCCACCCGAGGGGTGGTAAGGAGAGAGGCACAGGCCAGCCTGGGACAGACAAGGGCTGCTCAGGGACTAGGTCAGGCCTCTTAAATGCTCTCCAATAGGAAGAGCGAGTTAGGAGCTTACAATGGCTCAGGCCTGCTCAGCCCTGGCTGGAAGTGCTGTGGGCGAACCCCGCAGGGGCTCTTCTTCCCGAGTCCCTAAGAACGCCAAGGGCTCACTAGCTGCCAGGCCCCACGCGTTGTCCCGGACACCCCGGGCGCCAGGACGAGCCCCCCACTTCTCAGATGAGAACACTGAGCTTGGAGGGGGCAGCCCCTCACCCGTGGTCTCAGGATAGAAGATGGGGCCCAGGAGGGATTCTGAGCCCCAAGCCTGTCACCACCCTACCCTGTTTCTCTATCACCCAAAAGAGGCAGGCAGGGCCTGAGGGCCTCCTCCCAGGGGGGTCTCCGAATCCACTCCTTTCCTAGCACAGTAATGCCCACCCTCCCTGCACTCACACCCGGCCTCTGCACGCTGGCCCTGGCCCCTCTCCCCAGCCTGGCACCCCTCACAGCCCCCCAGACACAAGCAGCCCTGGGCCGGCTCCTTCCATCTTCCTTCCATTGCCCCAGGGGAGTCATCTTCAGGTCCTCCTTCCTACCACTCACACCCAAGCACACCTGGGGGCATCTGGGCACCGCCTCCCTGCCAGCACCAGCTGCACAAGCCCTTCTCTCTCCTGTGCCTTCTCCCTCCCACCCCTCCCACACGGGGACACTGCCTGGGGCTTCCTCTAACATCCAGGCTGGGAATTTCTCCAGCAACGGGCCCCACACACTTGCCACTCAGGGAGATTTAAAACAAGGAGGCTCTTCCTGTGACAGACAGATTGACATGAGAGTCTCAGGAGCACCCCAAGTTCTAAGGGGGAGAATCTGGGGAGCAGTCTCACAGCCCAGCGCCTTCCAGGTTCTGACAGCTGAACAGAGAGGGCAGGACAGGCAGAGCTACAGGGAGAATCTTCCAGAACCATCAGACTTAGATGCCCACAGACTGTGCCGGCAGGTGAAGGATGAAGGGAGCTCATGGCCCATAGGAGGCTGAGCTGATGGAGAATTACTAACCTGGAACAAGCCTTCTAGAAGCACAAAGATAAAAAACACAAAGAAGGACAGGGCTGGGAGAGAGGGGAAGGGTCTCCGTGACAAGTTAAATGTGTCATCAATGAAGGATTTGGTGCAAGGGGCACAGGGAGGTCTTCTTGTAGAGACAGCAACTGGAAGTTAATTTATTTTAAGCAGATACATACAAGTAGTATAGAAATAACAGATATAGGGGCACTTGTTACAGATAGTCACGGGGATAGACTTGAGTTCGTTGTTCCTTCCTGTTTACTCATAAGAAGTAAATAAAATGCAGTCTGGGTTACAAAAGGCATCAGGTAAAAAAAAGAAAGAAAAATTGGGCAAGAGCAGGAGGGACACCACCACTGGGACCACAAGGGGAAGGCTGTGCAAGGGAGAAAGTGCACAGAGGCTGGGAGTCAGGGCCTGTGACAAGAGGAGGGCCGGGGAGGAAGCAGGGCTTGCCAGACAAGGCGCCCAGCAGAGTGACGAGAAAACAAGGAGATGGCACCTGGGGCCTGGGCTCTGGGAAATGCTGCCCGGCTCCCTTGTAATTCTAAATGATTTAAAGGCACAGAAATCTCAGGCCATGCAAAATGTGCTCATGTGAACTTATGATTAGGATCCAAATGAAAGGACGACATGCTCACCGCCAAGAACACCCAGAGGGCCCGAGTGGAAGAAACCCAGGCCCACAGCATAAAGCCACACTTGCAAGCACAGAATTCAAGTCCCTTCACTTTCAACCCCACTTGCTGGTGATGTCTGGCACTTTGGAATGCAGCCACCTGTTCCTCACCTCCCGACCTTGGGGTGCTCTTTCCTGAGCCTGGAGCCCTCCCCCTAGCCTGCCTGTCTCCTTCGGGGCTGCCAGATCTTCCTCTCTGGACTGGAGGACTACAGACCCATGCCCCTGCCACTTGCTCTGTGCCCACCGTCCTGAGCCTGGCACAGGCCTCGATGGCATCTGCACCATGCACGCTGAGTAGGGCCTGGAGGGGGCAAAGCACACAGGCCTGACCATGCTCATGTGCAAGCTCTGCCTGCGTCTGCAGAGGGGAGGAGCTGGCTTATCCTCAGGGTCTGCGCCAACTGCCCGCTCCTGCTGGAAGGGCACAGTGCCCAGAGCCATCCTGCCTGCTGGAGACCGAGCACACTCATTTCTGCATCACCTACCTAAGGCAATGCGTGGAGAGAAACCGGGACATAGTTTTCCTTCCCTGGGTAAGGGATGGAATAACTTCCTTCCTCATCATCCTTTTTTTCCAATAAACTCCTGAATCTGATGTGCATCACATGGACATGAGCAAGAGAGAGGAGCACCTGGATGGTGGGAGGGAGAAATTCTAATCCAAAGGGGAACGACAGGCAGCCCCGAGCGTGCCCGGCCTGCAGGGCACAGTGCTGTGGTTTGTGTTCCTGTGGGATCATCTGGAAGAGATGGTCTCAGGGAGCATGTGGTGGCCGGCTGGCAAGTGCAGGATGGGGGTGCAGGGAGGAGGCAGAGCTGGGAAAGGACAAGAAATACAGGGGTGTCCCGACTGGGGTGCAGCAATGATGGGCTAAGGAGTGGAGGGACACATGCACAAGTCTGTGTATGTCATCAAGGGCCTGGGTGGGCATGGGAGGGACGCTAGACTCCTGACTCCCAGTGCCACCTGCCTTGACTGGTCTGGCTGACTATGACCCAGTGCTGGCTCCTCCTGACCAGGGGCAGCCAAGGGGTGGGACTGTTGGTGCTGCCAGCTGACACCCACCGCTGCTCTGAGCACTCTTCCTCTTTTACTCTCCCAAACAACCCTGCTGTTGTTGTCCCCACTCTACAGTGTAGGCTGCAGAGGAAGGGCTAAGGAATTTGCCCAAAGTCCCTGGTGAGATTCACGCTGGGCAACCTGCCTGGGCCCTAACTGTGACCAACATCCTGGAAAGTCCTTCTGACTCCCTCCTGTCCCTGGCCCACGCCTCACTGGCCACCAACCTCGAGCTTTGGCTCTCTGGTAGCTCCTTTCATTTCTGCACCCCTCCCCTCCTTGCCCTGTGCTAGTAGCTAATACCGTAGGCTCTCAGCTCTGCTGCCAGGCCAATGTGGCTTATGTGGCTCCTCTTTCATTTTACCCCCACAGGTCTCTCAGATCCTTCAAGGCTCTGCAGAGATCTTCCCACCTGTGGATCCATCATCACCTGCCTTCCACATGGCTATGGCATCTACAGCACTTTTGCTAACACCTGACTTGTAAAAAGCTTTCATTTTTTTCATTTGAAATATTTATTTTCCTCTAGTGTACCAGTTTTGACTCATAAGCTCGACTAACACATAGTTGTTACAACTGCAGTTTTCCAGGTGGTATAGACAAAACATTTGTTGCGTCTTGCTTAACTTCAGAACCCAGGCAATGAAAAAATAGCACTATAATCAAATTTCCTCATAAAAGGAAACTGCATCATTAGTGTTACACAAGTATTGTATTCACCCTTAAAACTTTTTTCCTACCAATGAAGAATCTTATTTCTTTATTCATAAATAACCACTGGGAATAGTTTAGTATAAATCCTTCTAGATATTTTCCTACCTGTATATGTTTTGTAGTACAATGTAAATCACATAATATGTATCCCTTCAGCCGTTTTTAAGCATGCAGTTCTGTAGCACTGAGGACATTCACGGGGCTGTGCAACCACTGTGTCTTTGTTCACAGGCCTGACTTTCTCGAGAGAGCGTGAGCTCCCTGAGGTCATGGAGCCCACCCTGGCCCCTTTGTGCACAGCCTGTGGCAAGTGTGATGGCAGAGTGAAGGGTCACCAGCAGCAGACTGAGGCCTGGCATCTTTTAAGGGAAAGCTACACCATCTGTGGAGCACAGTGGGCAGCAGAGACAGGTCTTGAAAACACGGTTGGCTTCAAGCAATAAATATCTCAAAGGAATTCCACAGATGAACTTGCCTGGAGGCTCACAGCTTTCAAAGTGGTATTCATCTTGTTTACCTCTCACAACTATGCAGAGCAGTATGTGCTGTCAGGCCACATTGCAGAGTACGAAACAGGCTCTGGGCTCATTTCCCACCTGTGTGTCTAAGAGCTAAGGTCACACAGGTGGGAAATGGCAAAGCAGGATTCAACTGGGGTCTTCAGACATGCAGTGCCTTTGGCACTTCTACCCCAGCTGCAGGAGGGAGAGAGTGAAATTTGACTATAGGACAGAAACAGGCGTAAAGGCCAGAAATGACAGGAGATGGCCTCAGAGTGCGAGCTGGCCTCACATTCCATTCCTCATGGCGGGAGCCCAGCTGGGTCCACAGACCTTGCCCCAAGGAATGCCATGAGGACATGGGTGACTCGGTCCCCCAGGGTGGAAGGCTTTGGGCTTCCGAGGAGCCCACCACCATCCACTGGGCACAACAGTGTGTCAGGCCCTGCGCCCAGATCCCGACAGTAGGTGCCATTTCTCCTTACTGCACAGGTGGCTAAGTGGCTTGCCTGCAGCCACAGAGCTGTAGTGGCAGGCCAGAGGCCTGCATGCCTGAGGCTTACCTATCTCACACACCTCCTGCTCACTAGTCTTGAAAACACGTGGGGGCCATGGGGCGGGGGCACTCAGGCAGAGATGTGACCCCCTGAAGGTGCAGGGGCTGGTGGGGTGGAGGCCAGGGCAGAGGGCCTGGCCCAGATGGTCCTGGGGGCTGGGATGCCGTGACAGGGGCAGGATTCCAGAAAATGGGGGGGGGGGTCACCTCTCAGCACCCCATTCTGTCTCACGCCCTCGGTCCCCACCCAGCCCTCGTCTCGGCCACACCCCCGCCAACCCAATGGACCCCCAGTTCTGGGCCCTTGGTTCCCCAGTCCCCTGTTCCTACCTCGGGTTCCTCAGGTCCCTAGCTACCCCCCCCCACGCCTACGACCTCTACTCCACCCCTGCACACCTCGGAGGGGGGCCCCCATCTGAGCCTCCTCTAGGCCTCCTTGCCTCCCCAGCCCCCTCCCATTCCGCCCCTCCGGTTCCTCAGCCCCATTTCACCGCTGTGCGCCTTGGGCCCCCACCTGACCCCCACCGCAGCCCGGCTGGCCTCCCGAGCCCCCCACCCGGGCTTCCTCACCCCTGGGTCCCAACAAGACTCACCTGCCTGCCACCCCGCCGTTCCGCGCCCTGCGAGCCGCTCCCGGCCAGCCCCGCCCACTTCCCGTCCCCGGCCGCCGAGGGCTCCGCGCAGGCGCAGTCGGGGCTCCCGGCGGGCGGGGCCGGGCCTCTGCTGCCCGCTGGCGGCCGTGGCCGCGGCCCTTGCACTTCAGGTGGGCAGCAGGGCATGCTCCGGAGCGCAGCCAGGGCTAGGCGGCTCCATAGGGAAAAGCAATCCCTATCTCACAGCACCCAGAAATTAGGCAACTTGTGCTGTCAACAGCTGGTACACGGCTGGCCATCCATCACGGCAGGAGGCACAGTGGCCAGGGCCCACCATACTTTTAGGGGCTGTTAGTTTCCACAAAATGAGAGACTTAAAACCACATCGATTTATTATCTTACAGTTTTGCAGGTCGCAAGTCTGCACGGTCTCTATAGGTTAAGATCCAGGTGTCAGCAGGGTGGGTCCTTTCTGCGGCCTCTAGGGAAGAAACGATTCCTTTTGCCTTTTCCAGCTTCTAAATGCCACTCACGTTCCTTGGCTTATGGCCCTTCCTTGGTCTTCAAAGCCAGGAACAGCCAGTGGAGCCCTTCTCATGCTGCCCTCTCTCTGGCTCCCTCCTCTGTTTCTCTCTACTTCTAAAGACCCTCTGAGGACACTGAGCCAGCCCAGATAAGCCAGGATAATCTCCCTATTTTAAAGTCAGTTGATTAGCAACCTTAATTCCCCTCTGCCAGGTAATCTAACATGAGCACAGGTTCTGGGTATTAGGATGTGGACATCTTTGGGGGTCTATTTTTCTGCCACCACAGAAGCTTATGAAGATATTTTCTTTTAAAGCCAGAAAAAATAAACTTTCAAATCAAAGAAAATGTTTTAATATATTAATATTATATAGTAATATATTCATCTTTGTACTAATGCAGTTGTAAAGTATAATTAAAAATTTTTCTAGCTGGGCACAGCAGCTCACGCCTGCAATCCTAGCACTTTGGGAGGCTGAGGCAGGAGGAGCTTTTGAGGCCAGCCTGAGCAAGAGTGAGACCCCATCTCTACAAAAAATAGAAAAATTAGGCAGGAGTGGTGGCATGCACCTTAGTCCCAGATACTTGGGAGGCTGAGGCAGAAGGGTTGCTTGAGCCCAGGAGTTTGAGGTTGCAGTGAGCTGTGATGATGCCAGTATACTCTAGTCCAGGAGACAGGACAAGAGTCTGTCTCAAAAAAAATTTTTTTAATAAAGGACAGGCATTTGAAAGTCCTACTGCAGCCCTGCTTACCTGACCTTTAGGTCCACACACTGGCCTGTGTCCTTTCCAGGAATTAATGTCTCTGGGACACTCACTCACAGGAGGGTTTTGGTGAGGCCAGGAATCTGGAGAACTAGCTGCTGGGTGATCTTAAAGGAAACATCTGGGGTGGGGGTGGGTCTGCCAGGCAGGGGGTATCTGGGCAGAGGACAGGATGTTGGGAGTGCTAGTTAATCCCACACTCCTGCTCACCCCTTTCTAGATCCCTGTCAGGGCAGCAACCCTGAATAAGGCTTGAGGATACTTATAATCTGTGACCTCGAGTATATTCCTTAGCTCACCTGAGCCCTAGCTGACCAGAAGAATGGGAACAATAACAACTAACCTATCTCATAGGGTTGTTGTGAGACCCTGAGCCAGTGTTTCTCATAGTGTGCCTGGGGCCACCTACAGCACAGCAGCTGTAGGTAAAACTTGAGAACCACAGCACAGGTGAGGTGGTGTGTGGGGCAGGCCCTCCCAAACTGTACAGAGCCGTATCAGTGACAGTTGAGACACCTGCAGGCCTCCTCACTGCGGGCCACATTAAACTCTTTAGCACTGATTCCATCTGAGGTTGGCAGCTTAAAGATGACGGCAAAGTAGGGTGCCCGGAGCTTGCCACTGAGGGCTCTGGGCCAAGGCCACACCTGTGAGATTATTTGTGCCCTGTGGCTCTGTCAATGCATAGCTGGAATCAATGCATATCATGGAATGCAGATTCCATGATACCTCAGATCCCAGCTATTGGCTTCCACACTGTGAAAGGAATTTCAACATAACCCACCCCACCCAGCCACCCAGTTCACGATCCTCTTCTTCCCTGGCAGGGCCGAGCCCCTGGCTGGGTGGGCAGAGCAGGGGCTCTCAGGGTCAGCCTGCTGACCTCCCCAGCCTCCAGGGCAGAGGACCAGTCCCGCAGGGCATGGCACTTCTGACCTGAAAGAGGCCTTGTCCCTTCTGTCCTCACTGCTCCCAAGGCCAGGTTAGCAGGAACAAGAGGGTGGATGCTAGTGGATAGTATGAGGTGAAAGCACCTGGGTGCAGAATCCAGCTTTGAAAGCTGAGGCCTTGAAGGAGATGCATGCGTCAGGAACAGCTGCAGGGAAAATAAAAGAACACTTTATGATTAGCCCTGCTTGTGGCTGAAATCTCAGCGCAGGATCATGTTAAGGAAGGAATGGGCGTCTGGGTTAAGGCCTAAGGAGTCTCCACCGCTCTAAGTCTAAACCAGCCCTGCAACCAGCTGCCTCCCTGGATGTGTCCTGGGGCATAAGCAGGCCAGGCCACCTTCCTGGAGAGAAGCCTGGGTCCACTCCCCATGTGGCTGGGCCATGTGAGTGGAAGAGCAAAGTCATAGGCCTGTGCCAGGGACCCTACCCACTAACACGTGTGGCTTGTTAGGGCCCCAGAATCTGACTGGAGCGGGCAGGGAGGGGGCAGAATCTTTGAGAGCACTGTCTCCTTCCTGAAGCTTGTACCTCTGAGACACATCCTAGGACCTGCTGCCCAGCTTCCCAGAGAGCCTGCCCTTAGAGGCAGCCTTCCCAAAGTGACAGACACCTCTCTGTCTCATTGTATAGTCTCATTCAACTTCTAGTTTCCCAAACTGTGTTCCAGGGAACCCAGCAGGGCTTGTGAGGGCCTCCAGGGTGGGGGTGGGGGTGTCCAGGAGAGGGAACCGTATGAAATGCTGGGTGGGCTTCGGGTTTCTTTACAGAAGCTCTCCTCAGAGCCTCGTGTGTTCTGGTGTGAGCTGTGAATCTGCTGCTGAGGGGGGTGGGGGGGTCTGTGTACATGTCTGAAACATTTCTGACCGGCCCCTACACAAGGGCTCCGCTGAACAGCCTGGAGAGCTGTTTTGCCAAGCTCCTCCCCCCACAAGGTGAGGCTCGGGTAGAGGCTGGAGGAAGTTTCCACCACCCAACAGACTTCACACGGGCGCCCCTCCTCGGGTCGCTGCAGCGGGAGCGCAGGACGGCGGCCCGCAGCCTGCACCCAGCTTACAGGGCGTTTTCTAAACCTGGCACACGAATGGGTTCAATAGGGCGCACAGCTGCCTCTGTCTAGGACAAACCAGGGCTTGTTATGAGGAAAGGAACCAGGGCAGCCCTGGAAGCTGCCACAGACGCACCCAGGCACCACATCCCGAGCTTGCATGGAGCCGCTGAGCCGGGGGCAGGGAGCAGCATCGAAGTGTGGGCTCAGCAGGGGGCCTGAGCAGGGGCTGGAGCCAAGGCCAGGGGGATTCCTGAGCCAGATCCAGGGAGGGCTTCTCCCAGCCCGCCGGCTCCATGGGTGTCCCTTCTGCCGCAGCTCTGGCTGTACAGGCAGCCTTCCCGTAGGCAGCACAGCTACCATTAGCATACACTGCCTGAAACTGGATGTGAGCAGCGGACTGGGGCTATTCGGTCCTGTGGTTTCAGACTTGGTGGCTTTCCTCTAGGACTGCCAGGGCAGAGCAGGGAGCACCTGGGACATGTATGCACGGATTGGGGGGGAGGAGCCCCACAGATGCTCAGAGACACGGAACCCTCTGGCATCACTGTACCAGCAAAAACCCCAAGCTTCTTGCTCTGGAGAAAACAAAATGACATTTTAATGGTTTCAGTGGCCTGGAGGACAACTGTCATGAGGTGGCTGCATTGCACTGGAGCCTGGGTGGGGGCAACAGGGCCATCATACAAAGTAGGCAGCCAGGGCTGACATCTTGTCCTTGGGCCGCCTGGGGTTGGGTTTCCCCGGGGGCCGCCGGGCCCGGCCTCGCCCTCGGCCCTGCCTCCTCCCTGGCCCACCACGGTGCATGGGGTGGCAGGAGGCCGCATGCTTCAGCTCCACCAGCTCCTGGAAGACAGGGTCACAGAAGACGCAGCCCACATGCTGTGTCTCATCGCCCGGGAGCGGGGACTTGGCCTTGTTGAAGTCCACGTCAAGCAAGGCGGCCTCGCACATGTTGCAGGTGTCAGCAGACACCCGCACGCGGTGGGCGTTCTCAAAGCAGTGTGCCACCACGTTGCACTTGTTGCAGGCCACCTTCCACTTTGGGCCCGAGGTGGGGTCCAGCACCAGCACACCACTCTCGCACTCCACACACTGGCCGATGCCCAGCAGGCTCAGCGAGTGCTGGCAGGAGGGGTGCGTGCACTCGTTGCAGCCCATGCCTGGCAGGGAGAGAGGAGCCCTGTGACACACACCTACTCCCCGTCCCCCGGGCCCACTCCCAGTGCCTCAAACTCCTGTGTCCTTCATTCCAGCAGAGAGTGCTCCTCTTGGCCTTGCCCTGGGAGATGACACCCTTATGCTCCCCCGGGCTCCCAAAGCACACCCCCCCCCCCCCGTTGCCATCACCCTGTCCTCAACTTTCAAGGCTCCCGGGGCTAATGTCTTCTGGAAGCTGCTGAAGGGCAGAGATGGGCCTCACTCCCTGGCAGCCTGGATACAGACCCTGCAGTAAGTGTGGGTGGATGCCTCAGTCCTGCTGGCTCCTGGTCTGCGGTACAGGATGATGACACCCCGAAAGGCTATGCGTGGTGTAAAGGAGCTAGCACAGCTACGTAGGAGCACATGGGGCCCTCACCAGACTCCTGGTTCAGTGTTCTTCTTTCTCCAGCAGTGAGGACACTGCTTGAGGGTGCGCTGCTCCCTGGCAGGCCCCCACCCGCTGCATCCTCTCGCTTACCCCAACCCAGGAGGGGGCGCAGCATGCCCGCCGCCCAGATCCAGGTGAGTAGACAATGGTGGGCAGAGGGTGGCAGGCCTGCTAGTAAGGCCTGTGTAGTGCTCCAGCTGCACCCGGGGTCTCCTGTCTCAGTGCCAGTGGGTGTGGCAGGGCTCAGGGTCCCCTGGGAGCCCAGCCTGGTGTGAGACAGGGGTTATTGCTGAGCAGACTGCAGAACCCAGTGGGGACAGGAGGGAGCAGCCGGGGCCAGGGGCTGCGCTGCCATGCTCACCTTTCTTCATGTCTCGGAAGGGTGGGTGGTTGTAGCAGTAGGGGCACAGCGGGTAGCTCTTGCCCCGAGAGCCCGATGACCACAGGACCAGCTCAAAGTCGTCCAGTGGGCAGCGGAGCTCCTTGTAGAGCTTGATGGTGCCGTTCTGGGGGAGTGTGTAGGTCTCGTCGCAGTGGGAGCAGTGCAGGCGGCTGGGCTTAGCCTGCAGCAACGCCAGGGACGGGGTGTGAGGTCTCAGGGGCCATCCACTGGCTCACCTGCCTCATTCCCCTCACAATACAGAGCAAGTGACACCTAATGCAGAATCCATAATACGTTGCAGGCAAAGACCTCTCCACTCCCAGCCGTGAATCCCGGAACCTGGCTCCACGTGTGGGGAAAGGCAGTTCCGAACCCCCTGCGTGTGTTACTGCCTGTGATGGCCAGTGCGGTGGAGTTATGGAAAAATAGACAACATGTGTTTAAGTGGCCCGATGGCTTCTGTGCTCCAGGGGTCATGGGGACATTGTGGGTATTTGTTGGCAAGGTTGCTTTATGTCTCTGAGTCATTCTTATGTGACAACTGGGACAAAGAATATTATTCCTTGTTACCACCAGTGATAAAGTAGAGGCCTAAAGTGATGATGCACGTGCCAGAATTAGTGCACAGGGCGCTGCAGGCCAGAAGGGCGGTCGCACCTTCTTCCCACCTACCTGGATGTACTTCATGAACCGGTGACACTTCCCGCAGCGCGACAGGGGCTTGCCTGTGGCTGCCAGGGGTGAAAATGACACCTCCATCAACTCGTCCATGCCTGAGAGCAAGCAGAGTGCAGGAGTCACACCCTCCTGGGGCTCCAGGAGAGGACCTCTGGCAGCCACCTCTTTGGCAGAAAGCTTGGTGGGACCGGGTGGGCTGGAGGGAGAGGCCACCACGCGTGGCTAATGACCTGAGTGTGGATATGTCCCTGCAGGTGGTGGGTTTCTACTGTCAGTGACAGAACGGCAGGGCAGCAGCCCAGCGTGGGGTTAACACACCTGCTCTCACCCTGACAGTAACCCAGCAGGGAGGCACCCTCGCTCCAACCTGTGATCTCAGGGGGGGGGGGCTGCTCCCCTGGGTGCTGGTGGGCCTGATGGAGGGTCCCCTGATGAGGGGCAGGGAAGAGGTGAACCAACCGGCAATGGAGTCAACGAAGTAGTGGAACTTCCTCTTGAACACATCCAGAGTGTGGCCCAGCACCTGGCGGTAGTCGGCCTTGCCCTGGGCGATCAGGTTCAGCTGCTTCTCCACAGCGCTGCGGATGGTGGGGAGCACCAGCTCGGCGTCTGTGAGCAGGTGGGGCAGATGCTACTGCAGCACTGGCGCCAGGGCCATGTCGCCACCAGCGGGCAGCTCTGGCTGGTCCTCCAGCGGGAAGGTACCAGGCCAGCTCCTGTGCCCCGGGCCTTTCCTGATTTCCCACCCAGAAATCTGGTGTAGAGTGGCCAGGGACATCCTGTGTCTAGGACCATGTCAGAGGCATGCTCCCGGCCAGCCCCTAGCCAGCTCTGTGCTCCTCCATCTCCCACTGGCCTCAAGGGGACCTCCCAGTGACAGAGCTGACAAACACCTGAGTGAGAACCCCAGGCCTGGCGGGAGCTGATCTGCAGGAAAGGGCCCCTGACTTCCCCTTTTGGCTTCTCCACATGCGTCCATCCCTCCTTCAAACACACCCAGAGCTCCTGCCCTGGGCAGCCCTGGGGCTCCTAGGGCTGGCAGTAGGCCTTGGGGGAACGTGCATGGGGCCAGGGACTATCTGGGGAGGCGGCAGAGCCCATGCTCAGGGAGCCCCGGCTGGCCCAGGGCAGGACTGAGAGACTAACCAATCTTGTAGTAGCCATGCACCAGGACGATGCCCAGGTTGGTGGGCTTCAGCCGGCGCCCACTCTCCACAGTGACGTAGTTGCGCTGGCAGATGTTGTTGATGTGCACGGGGATGCTGGCATCCGTGCCTGAAACACACGGCAGGCCCAGCATTCCTTGCCCTGCCTGGGCATGCCCCATGGGACTGCGAGCTGTGGCTTCACCCCTACCTGTCATGGGGTCCCTGACTCTCAGCCCCTCCCCCGCCGCTCCTGGCCACCCACAGGAGGGAGGTCTGTGCCCTGTGCCGGGCACCCCACCATGTGCCTTTTGTGTACTGGCTTGAGAACCCAAGGGTGGCCGCCACAGCATGGGGTGCTCATTCCTGCTTTACAGTGGAGAGAGGCTCAGAGAGGTTAAGGAACTCTGCCAAAGTCACAGAGCTTATTCTGTGCCTGGCAAATGTCATCTCTGCTTCCTGCTTTGATCTTGTGGCACCTAACCCCCAAACACAGAGGCATTTACAGGCTCACTGAAGAGTCACCGCCCCAAACCTGACCAATTTTGCCCACTTCCTGTCCCCCGCCTCTAACCCTCTCTCCAGCGTCCCTCACGATCTCCAGGGCAGATCCCCAGTTCCAAGGATTCAGCTTCCCTTGCCCTGAGGTGCCTTCTTGGCAGAAAAGGCGAAGAGGAAGATGAGGCATTCTGACTGTGGCTTGCGCTGGCCACAGGGGCAGAGAGGAGACGCACGCTCACTGTGCACTTGCCAGTGCTGGCGGGTGACACATTCTCCCGAGGGAACTCTGTGAGGGACACTCCCACATGAGCAAGAACTGCTGTCCAGGGGCTACGAGGCCTGCTGAGGTCCCTGGCTCTCAGCACGAGGCCAGGATCTGAGCGCTGCAGTGGCGGCTGCCCGAGTCTGCCGGGCCCTGAGCTGCTCCCCGTGGGGCTCTGCGGCACATGCCCGCTGAATTCCTGCCCCAGACCCCCGCGACAGCTCTGCTCAGGCCCTTCTTATGTATCCCTGTGCGTCTCTGCCACAGGGCTGCCCTCGACCACTTTGCTGTTCAGAAGGTAGCACGACCACCCTCTTCACTGTCGAGAACTTGTGTTGGTGACTGGGTCTAGCCCGCTGCCTAGTGTATGGCTGCCAGGAGCCACAGACATCCTATTGACAGGGAGGGGCAGAGGGTGCGGGGGCAGTGGGGGAGCAGAGCCCACACCCCACAGTGGGCGGAGGGCTGCTATGTCAGGGCCCCTGCAGACACCCCAGGGCCCTGGGAGAAGCAGGCTTCTCTCTCTCGCCAAGGCCACCATGGTCACCAGGGACCCAGCATCAGGTGAGACGTTCCCTGAAAGTCCCCCTGCAGGACCACTGAGAGCCCAGGTACAGACGCCCTGACTGTCCCACAGCCCTCCTGTGCCTTCCAGCTGGGGCAGCGAGACGGGACAGGCAGTGCCCAGTGGAAGCAGCACACCGGGTTAGGAGGCCCCTGATCATGTGAGATGTCGCTCACAGCCCCTAGGCCTGAGGACTGGGCAGGACCACCTCTCCTGCAGGGTGCAGACACCAGTGACTACACTTCTGATCTGGTACACTCCCCTGCACTGCCCATTCTCACTTGGAAACTTTCTTGCTTATCCCTTGGGAAGCTCTGTCCCTGGGATAGGGACAGGCATCTCTGCTCCACTCACTGGGAAGTGGCTCGCATGAGATTTGGTTTCCTTGTTGCCTGATTCCAGGACAGACCTGGGCTGGCTGTGTGGACGTTGACCTTTTTTTTTTTTAAGACAGAGTCTAGCTCTGTTGCCCCAGGTAGAGTTTAGTGGCATCATCGTAGCTCACTGCAGCCTCAAACTCCTGGGCTCAAGTGATCCTGCTGCCTCAGCCTCCTGAGAAGCTGGGCCTACAGGTGCATGCCACCATGCCTGGCTAATTTTTTCTATTTTTGGTAGAGACAGGGTCTCACTCTTGCTTAGGCTGGTTTCCAACTCCTGAGCTCAAGCCATCGTCCTGCATTGGCCTTTCTGAATGCTAGATTACAGGTGTGAGCCACCACGCCTGGCCTGATCTAACCTTTATGAATGGTGTGGCATCCTGGGCCAAGCCTCAGCCCCATGTGCATTAGTCAGCGCGAGGCATTCAGTCAGCCCTGTCGTGCGGGAGGGCACACCTGGGCCTTCAGGGGAGAGCCAGTCGTGAGGGGCTGCCCACTTGGCTAGCCACACACTGGGTCAGCAGTCTCCAGATGCGGGCCCGTGGATGGGTGCTGGGCTGGTTACAGAGAGGTCACCAGGCAGTGCTGCACCCACCGATGCCATGCTTCTCCATGAGCGTGATGAGCTCGGCCTCCGTCAGGTAGTCAGGCGGGCTCGTCTGCTTCTCCAGCACCTTCACCTCGCCCACGGGGAAGGTGTCGCCCCTCTGGCAGGTGGGCAGGCTCTCCTCCAGGGGCACGCTCTGCCAGGGCATGATCTCTGTGAAGCCTGGAGAGACACACTGCTGCTAGTCAGGGTCCCCGGCCTGGGTGGCCCACCCTCAGACCCTGGGCCTCCCACCTCTGGATACGATATGGAATGTCCCGTCTGCCTGTGAAGACGAGGAGGAAAGCTGTGGCCTGCAGTGTTACCTGGGGAGATGACGGTCCTCCCTGAGCAGGTGAAGAGCTCGGGCCCGATCCTGAAGGAGATGGTGCTCTGCAGGTACTTGCAGTCGTGGCTGACCGTGGCGATGAAGTGTCTGGTGATGTATTCGTAGAGTCGCCATGCATCGCCCCCTACAATAGGCCCAGGGCTGTGACCCGGGGGCTGGTTGGGTGCTCTGGTGCTATGGACCCCGTCACTCTCGTTTGAGCAGCAGGGATGCCAGGCCCTGCTTGAAGCCCAAGAAAGTAGGAAGGAAAATGCACAGGAGGGAAAAGCCAGTTTCCTGGGCCTTGGTGGCTTCCTCTTGGCTGTGGCTCCAACTTCCCTATACGACCTCCTGAAGCTGCTCCTGGTGGGACTGCCCTTCAGGCACCGGGCCTATCCCTCCACCATCTAGTGACATGCCTTCCATGTAGCCACCACGCTTTCCAACTCGGGCTGTGCAGCGGCTCCTGCCTCCACCTGCACTACTTGACCTTCCTCACCTGCCTGCTCCTGGCATGTGGGCCACAGGCACCGCCTCGGGCCAGGTGGGGGCAGAAGGTCCTCCCACTGTAGAGCCCTGTCACTCTCTGCCTTGGACCTATCCCACACCCCCCACAGCCGTCTGCCTACTCGCCTCCCCTGACCAGCCATCTGTACCTGCTGCCACTCCTGCCTCAGCCCCAGAGCAGGATCTCAGTTTCAGGCAAGCCCCTCGCCACAGCTGCGGGCAGGCAGGGAGGGGAGGAGCCCCCACACTGCCAGCGGGGCCTGCCACCGACCCTATAGCTTCTCGCCTCTCCTCCCTGGAAGCGTGAGGGGTGGGTGTGAGATACCTAGTTCGGCCTCTGTGGCCGACCTCATGGGAGTGATGGGGGGATGGTCGCCAGCATCGTGGCCTTTCCTTGGACGATTGATACCTTCTGCTAACAACCGTTTTACCTGAGGGAGAGAAGACAGGGTAGAGTCCGAGTCTGGGTGTGGCCACCCTCCAGTTGGCCCTGCCATTGGCCAAAGTGCCTGAGCTGGTCCTGTGGTCTCAGCAACAGGTGCGTGCAGGGGCAGGCCCAACTCCACTCACCACGTTGGCCCAGTAAGGGTGGTTGGCCTGCTGCCGCAGAGAACCCTTCAGGTCGAAGTTTTCAGGGTAGTGGGTGGTCTCTGTCCGCGGGTAGCTGATGTAGCCTTGCGTGTAGAGCCGCTCAGCTGTCTGCATGGCATGCTGTGGCCCCATACCTGCGGGAGACAGGAGGCTCTGCTGGCCTAGACGGTAGGGTTGGCCAGGTGCCTGCCCACGGGCCTGTGCACTCGGGCTCTCCCCAAGGCAGCCAGCACCTCCTCGAGGAGGGTGAGGGTGCCCTGAGCAGGTGTGGCCAGAGCGCAGAGCTGCTGGCTGGGCGGGCCACAGTGTCCGAGGCCAGGATGGGGTGGGCCAGGATGGGGCTTGATGGGAAATGCTGCTCAACCTACCTCAGAGTGTGCCATCACAGTGCTCGAGGCCATGGTGACATGGCCTTCAGAGTGCCTCTCCCCACGGTCTGGCCACAGAGCTGTAACCAGGCCATCACTCCACAGCCCCCTAAGAACCCTAGAGCCACTGCTCTGAGAGGACACTGCCCACAGCTCCCCACAGGAGGGCCACCAATGCCTAGAGGCCAAGGGCAATCAGAGGGTGCCAGCTTTCTAGCCCAGCCTCCGTCTAGCTACTGGGGAAACAAGGCTCAGGGAGGCGATGCTATCCCATCCCAGCAGGGGACACCTGGCTGGGGCCTCCCCCCTGCACCAGCGAAAGCTGCCGAGAACTCTAATGCCAGGATGTCCCCCTCAGGTAGTGGCCAACATTATTACTATTGTTGAAATGTGTTATTTCACATCATTTGATCCCTACAGCAACCTAGAGAGACAGGTAACACTGTTGCCCCATTTTCTCATGAGGAAACTGAAGCGCGGGAGGGGAAGGAAGCAGCTGAGCTGGGATTGGGACCGGAGCTTGGCTGCAGAGCTGGAACTAGAGGTTTAATGGCTCTGAGGGGACTCTGCTGTGCCAGGGACACCAAGGGTGGCCTTCCACATGTTCTGCCCTGCAGCAGCCACTCAGACGCTGCATACGAGGAGATTGTCTGTTTTCCCCACATAAATTCAGGGAAGCTACTGGGTATTAACCAACAATCCAATGAAACAGGATCCTCTCTCCTGTTTGTTTTTACTTGTTTCTACTCTGGAACTTAAAGAGAGATGAAATTCTCATGAGGCTCAGACCCTTCTGAGCCTCGGGCAGCGCTTGGAGGAGATGTGCTCAGCACAGGTGACAGCTTCAGCACCACCCAGCACCCCTGGGCATTCACTGCGGCAGGACAGAACGGGCCACCATGAGCCGGCCTCAAGGAGCCTTTGGGGGGCTTTAGAGAATCATCCCTACATACCCAGAGAAGAGCTGGCCACACGTAGCATCTCCACAGTGTTCAGGGCCAGGGGCCTCTGCTTGGCCTTTTCTTTCTTGCTTGTGGCCTCCACCTGGAAGATGGGGCCCAGAGAGGGATTTCTGAAGGGGAAGACGCCACCACAGAGGGAATTGCGACGTGTGGGCAAAGGGTTTGGTTCCATTCATTTGGTCTCCCTGCTTCAATAATCCACTCTTCCCAGCAGCCTAAAGACTTGATTCAGCATTTACTTAGAACCAGGAAGAGAAAAAAAAAAAACATAAATTCTGTTCTAGCCAGGAGAGGTAGTTTGTGCCCGTAATCCTGGTTACTCAGGAGGATCACTTGAGGCCAGGAGCTTGAGACCGGTTAGACCCCCATCTCTACAAAAAATAAAAATATTAGCTGGGCATGATGGCACCTGTAGCACCAACTACTTGGCAGGCTGAGGCAGGAGGATCACTTGAGCCCAGGAGTTTGAGGCTGCAGTGAGCTGATTGTGCCACTGCACCCCAGCCTGGGTGACAGAGTAAGACCTTGTTTCTTTAAAAAAAAGAAAAAGAGAAGAGAAAAACTAGGGAAATGAGGGAGAATGAGGAAGAATCTGGAGAAGGGGCTGCAGAAGCTGCATCAGCAGGGCGGGGGTGGGGGCAGGGCCGTCTGGGGGCAGCACTCACTCCTTGCGGGGGGGGGGGGGGGGCAGGGTTGCTGAGTAGGCCTGTTAGTACTACTACATCTTCCAATTCTTAAAGAAAAGCTGGGGCCGGGCATGGTGGCTCACGCCTATCATCCTAGCTCTCTGGGAGGCTGAGGGAGGAGGATCCTTTCAGGTCAGGAGTTCAAGACCAGCCTGAGCAAGAGTGAGACCCCGTTTCTACTAAAAATAGACAGAAATTAGCTGGACAACTAAAAAGATATAGGAAAAATTAGCCAAGTATGGTGGTGCATGCCTGTGGTCCCAACTACTTGGAAGACTGAGGCAGAAGGATTGCTTGAGCCTAGGAGTTTGAGGTTGCTATGAGCTAGGCTGACACCACGGCACTGTAGCCCAGGCAATAGAGTAAGACTCTTGTCTTAAAAAAAAAAAAAAAAAAAAAAAAAAGCTGGGAGTCAGGATTTTTATGTGGATCTCACAATTTTTGAATGTTGGTAACTTCTGAAATTTTTGTAAACATCATGCAGGTTAAATGGTGAGCATCTGTGGGCTGTGCATGGCTGGCAAGCTACTGCCCTCTACCTCCAGGCTGAACACTTGTCAGAAGACACAGCTCTTTGTTTCTCCATAACAATCCAAACAACTCAACCCAGGCATTTGCCCTTGCCAATGCTACAGAGACCGGCCAAGCAGTGCCTTCTGGATTCCAGAGTGACAACGTGGGTGCTGGGACTGGGGCCCATTGTGTATGTGCAGTGGTGGAGGCTGGGATCCATTTGGGCGAGGTCTGGAGGTGGAGATGGGAGTCTCTGCAGGAATGTGATCAATGCTAATAGCACGGAGCAGCTTTAGAAGTTCCAGAGGCCTGACACAACTGCACGGTGGGCAAGGGGGCACTCAAGGAAGGCTGAAGGACAGGAAGAAGGCACCTGAAGGAGGCCAGCCTGTACCTCAATAACTCAGGTGGCTTTCATAGCTGCGGGGCACTTGCTTCGATGCTGGAGACATGCCCCCAGCCCCTGCAGATAGCTCCCTCGCCAGGTCACATCACCCTCCTCCTAACAACCAAGCAACACGTCCTTCCAATTCATGAACACCCTGAGTAAGAAACAAAATGCCATAAAGGCGTGAGAGTTGACTGTGGCTGGGACGCGGGACCTGGCCCCCGCTGGCTGTGTGACCTTGGGCGAGAGCATTAATGCGCACACAGGTCTCTCCACAGTTGGTAGCTTTAGATATCTCTGTGTGAAATGGAGTCCTGCCACAAGGAGGCAATGCCGATGGGGTCACATGGACCAGGGCCAGTGGAAGGCGCCTGGCAGGGTCTCAGGTGGGGACAGTGCCTGGTGTAAGGCAGGCACGCAGCACACTGCAGCTACTGCATTGGGCAGAAATATCTCAGTAGGAGCACAAGGGTCAGCGAGCATTCCTCTTTCCAAAAGGATTCTGTGTTTCAGAAAGCGGGAGAAAGATGTGGCCCTGGTCACAGGCTATTCCTCCAGCCAGAGGCTTCCAAGGCCCAGCCCAACCCAAGGCAAAGGTGATAGGTGTGAGGGGAGCAGGCACACCTGGGCTTCCTTCTCTAGCTTTGTCAAGTTCAAAAACATCTGTGCGATCTCTCGGTCAAACACTCTGACTCGGTCCCAGTCCAACAGGAGAGATCTGTCTTTATCTGTGTTAACCTGCAGGAAGAAGCACAAGGGGTGAACACACAAGAAGTACCCAGGTGAGCCCATCACCAGGGAAAGAGCTGGGACAGACGAAGCTGGTCCTTGTCTAAGGTCTCACAGCTGTACCTGTCTAGCTGAGGCTGAAGCACCTGAGCCCCTACCTCCCACACCATCCCTGCCCACCCCCAACTCCTGGCCGGCACTAGGTAGGCACCCTCCTGGGAGTCCCCAGCCCCACGTCAACCAGAACAGCTCCGTATCATGCTATGTATCTTACAGTAAGCTCCCGAGGAGGCTTTATGTGAAGAAAGGGTTTTAAAAAGTTTGGAAGCTCACAAGGGCCTCAGTCCAGTGCTTGGACCTGACCCCGCAGTGCTGGCTCCCTTGGGGCGCCCTCACCTCGCACTGCCAGAGCTGAACTCGTTCCCATTTATCCAGATTCAACACCTCCAGACCCAGCCTAGTCCCACTGCCCTCATGGAGGCTGGGGTCCCCCTTCTCTGGGCACCACAGACCAGTGTTGGTGACAGCCGTCCCCACTTCTGCCCTCAGCCCAGGGCCTGCAGGAAGACTCTGCTGGAAGACTGTCAGAATCCACGCCCCCACCCGGAAGCCCCAGCATGAAGACAGAAGGGCATGGAACCTTGGCCTGCAGCACCCAGTAGATCTCCGGTTTGAAGGACTGGATTTTATCATGTCTCTCCACGCAGAACCCCAGGGTGGGAGTCTGACACGGCCCAAAGGAGATGAGAGAGCTGTCTAAGTCACCGTATTTTCCCTGGAAATATTTAGTCTGAAACCTGGAAGCAGTGGTGGGGTGGGAAGGGGCGAGAAAGATATTTTGGTCATGACTTCATTCAAGACACTATAGTGAGACACTGTGAGTCGAGCCTGGGGCTAGGGGTGGTGTGAGGGAGGTGGCAGGGGTGGTGGCTCCCACTGAGAAGACCGTGGAAGAGGCAGAGTGATCATGGCCTTCAGGGAGGAATAGGATGTGAGCACATGAGACGGACAGAGGGGACAGAAGTTCCTGCCATCTCAGGCCAGAGAGCCTCCTATTCTATTCCATCCACTGCACACTCTCCTAAGGACCACAGAGTGCACACAAGCACTCTTTGTTTATCAAGCAGTGGCTTGTGGATCCCTGTCAGCTAAATACAAAATTTCCTTCTGGGTTTTTTAAATGGTGGAATTGCCTATTGTTCATCTGGGCTCCAAGAGGCCAGGGGGCCACAGATGGGGACCAGCAAGGGCAGGCTCTGGCCGAAGGAGGGCAAGGTGTGCCTGGACCCTTGTGCAGAGCGGCCAGCACCTGGTGAACGCACAGCCGATGCGCAGGTCCAGCTCTTGGCGGGCGTCCACCGAGAGCGCCTCGTTGTGGTCAGGCTCGCCCAGGCGGGCCATGGCGTTACAGATGTCCGTGTCTGTGATGGAGCTGAACCTGGCCCGGAACACTGTCTTCTCGCCACAGTGGGCCTTGTTCATGACAGGCAGAACAGCATCAAGGACCTGGGGGAGGGCAGCTGGCTGTGACCCACCTCTCACATCCCACTGTGAGGCCTGGCTCCTTTCAGGGTGGGACCTGCTTGTGTGTGCAACCCCCTCTCTTGCCCCTGCCAGACCCTCTCCCATCTCCTTGCCTTTCCAGAAGCCTCTGGCCCTCCACAACACCCTGCCACATGGCCCCTTTTCCTCCCAGCTACAAACACGTTCAAACACCCCTGTCTGACTACCACCTCTCTCCTTATCCTATGCTTTCATCCTGCCAAATCAGAAAATGCTACTGCCAAGCACTTAAAGAACCTTATAGTCCCCAAATCCATCCCATGTGACCCATCTCCCCTCCTAGGAGGATGCAGCGCTTAGAGGGGTGGGTGGGACTTTTAAGAGACTGGAGAAGAAACAGGGAAGGAAAAATGAATGAAGAGGACAAGAAACAGGAATGAGTGGGAAGGCTTCAGGGGGCCCCAGCTTCCAGGTGGGGTCTGGGCAGCTCAGGCAGCACAGTGGGGTCCTAGAGCCAAGACTCACTAAGAAGGCTATGCAGTGGGAGGGGGTCACCGCCGGAGCCTGGCCACACAGCTTTTTGATGGGGAAACAGCGGTTTGTTTCTGAAGGGAGAAAGCCCTATGAGCTATCACCTTTCTCCTTCCCAAGATGCAAGGACCCCTGGAGAGGAGCAGCCCTACGGGGAAGAGATAGGAGAGGGTATATGGGAAGGGACAGAATATGATCAGCTTTGCTGAGGGTGCTACACTGCAACGCCGAATACCCAAGCTCCCCGGTCTCACTGGAACATCTCCTTAGCCCAGGGTGACAGCTGGGGTACAGAGGCATGGGGATGACCTATAGGGAGCTGAAGATGGAGGGGCACCAGGTGAGACCCACAGCCATGACCCATGTGAGGGAGCCATGGCCAAGGCAAGCACAGGGCAAGGGGAGCTGCCACCTGATCCCTGCAGGGAGGGCCCCTGGGGGTAGCTGGGAGGTGGAGCCATCAATGAAGGGGCGGAGGTGGGAAGAATGTGGGCTGCAAAGCAGCTCAGTGCTGAGGCCAGGCATCCACCAGCCTCAACTGAAGGTCCCTTAGGCGCCCAAACCCCCACTCCTCGAGACAGCCCCATTCTGAAATTTGCATCCACCTAGAAAATTCTGCCCTATATTCACTCATACCATGCATCCCCAGCAAGTGAAGTAACACTTGATCACCCCTCCTGGAGTCTATACATTTTAAAGTGTCTACAGAATTTCAGAATAAAGGCAGAGAAAGGCGTGTCTAAACCAACCTGGTGTATTCCCTCCTCTGGCCCCAGGAATGGCCTGACTGCGTCAGTCTGGGGATGGTGGCCAAAAGGCCAAAAGTGAGCACCAAAGTGGGCTCCGTACTCACCTCAAAGCAAATGTTCTCCCCTTCCTTGTCGCAGTCCAGCCACAGCACGATGTAATCGCAGCCTCTGCCCTCCACCTGCCACACAGCACACGTTCACAGGCACCTGCCGCAGCCGGGCCTGTGCCGCCGAGCCTGGCACTCCCATCCCTGACAGGAGGCAGCGCCCACGCCCAGGGGCCTGAGCCGGGCAGGGAGCCAGCTGCAGTGAGGCTGCCTCAGCCACTCAGAAAAGAATTTAGTTCAGAACTGCTGTGTTTTGGGTTAAAAGATATATACAATTGCAATATGATTTTAACCCCCTAAAACTGCACAGAAAAAGGTTTAAAATGAAATAACCCTAAATGTTAACAGTGGTGATCTTAGATAGTGTGATTATGAATAATTTTTTATTTCTACTTATCCATATTTTCCAATTTTCTATAATGGGTATATATTTGCTTTAAAATTGGGGGGGAACCCAAATAAATACATTATTTCATAAGAAGAGTGCTTGCCCTGCAGGACAGAGAGAGGCAGGTACCACAGCTGGCAGTGTGGGAACGCCCAGGTCTGCAGGGGCCTCATGAGCCAGCAGGGGGCGCTCACAGAAAGGGCAGCAGGCTGCCCAGGGCTGCCAGGAAGGCCTCTCTGTCCAAGATGGGGATAAGGACTCAAGTCATGGCGGGCAAGGATGTCTGCAGTTGCCTGCTGTGCAAGGAGTGGGGCTGGGGGGGTCCCAGTGTGCTCGTGCCCAGGTGGGCCCCATGTACCTGCAGGAACTTCACCATGTTCAGCTTGGGGTTAGCTTCCCTCTTCTCTGTCGGAGCTTGGCTGAACAGCTCTGCGGGGTCCACCTTGTCCCACTTATTGTACTTTCCTACAAGCCACAGTGACATTGAGTCACACTTCATGGCTCACAGGGTCTTGCCCTCCGAGACCGTCACAACTCCAGGAAGACAGTGGCTTCATCTCACAAATAAGGAAAGGGAGGCTTGAAGAACCATGTGCCCAGGGTCACCCTGACAGTCAGGGACATGAACTCAGGCTTTTGGGTAACTCCTGCCCACCCAGCATTCCTTCTGCTGGGCTGCTGAGCTGACACTAAACCCTGGCCACCTGTAGGAGCCATGTAGATTCTTGGCAGGGCTGCTGTTCTGGCCTTGCTTCAGGGACTCCCTGTGGCTGGCAGCACCACTCCTGGGCTGGTTTGCTTTGTCTGAGCACAATACCGCCCACTCGTGCCTTCTCTTGCTCTTTCACCCTGGATTTCTGTAACTCTCTACCCCCACTCAGCACTTGACGGGGCACAAAATGTGCTCAGCCGTTCCCCCATGGAGGGCCGCTCTCCGGGCCTCATGTCTGGCACATCTGCCTACTTCCCTGCTTAAACCCTGGCTCTTGCAAGCTCTTGTAGGCCCCATTTCTCCCAGCCTGGGAGAATGGGGTCAGAGAGCCAAGTTCAAATCCTGGCTCTCCACTTGCCTGCTGGAGATAAAGCTTGGGGTCTAAATGCTCAGCCACACAACTCAGTCGCCATCGCTGTCATTGCTGTCATCACTGAGCAGCAAGAACAACTACTGAGGCTTTGCTGTGTGCCAGGCCCTGTGCCGAGTCCTCGCTCTTCACTGTCATCCTGAGTCCTTGGCAAACCTGGGAAGTACATGGCACTTACAAGACCCATTTCACACATGGGACATGGAAACGCACAGAGGTGAGTCACTGCCCCAGGCTGACAGCACAAGGGAACAGCCCAGGTCAGACTCCTGTCAACCACACAGCTCTGCAGCTAGACCTAGTGGGTCACTAATGCTGGCCCTTCCGAGGTGATGGACAGTAATGATACGAGGATGACAATGACAGCCACCAAATGACCCATGGACAACAGTCAACTTAGCAGGAGTGGCAGCCCTCTCTCAAACACCTGCATGGGCCTAGGATGGGCCCCACCACCTGTCTGCAAAGGAAGGCGCCCAGGGGATGCCGTGGCTAAGGGTGCTGCGTGATGGGGACCTAGGGCTACTGAGCGCCAGAGCCTTGTTCTGGGCCCCTCACTCAGGGATCCCCAGTCACCGCTCCACGATGTGCGGGCCTCGTGACTCATGGATTCTGGACAAACTTCTCTGCACAGAGGAATCTCCAGCCCCAGCTGAAGCCTGGGCAGTGCCACGTAGGGCTCCCCTCGGCGGATGGGGAGGGAGCTCACCCAGGAAATCCAGGGTCATCACATGACCACAGACAGACGTCATCTTGAAGCGCACCGGCTGGCCAGCGAAGGTCCCTGTGTACTCGTGGACTGAGCAGGCCCCGTTCAGCCCTTTGTGTGAGGACATGCTCCCTGGGGAGAAGAAGCACACAGCGACGGCTGCTCCAGCGAGCTGCAGACACCCTGGAGAACCCGGGGTCCGATACTCCCCTTTGGAGGGCCCGAGTGCCCCCTCTCCAGAGCAGTCAGTGAGAACACTCCTCAGGCTGCTGTGGGCAATCGGGCACGGACAGATGTAACCGTGCTCCAGGAAACAGCATCTGTGAACAACCTGGCGTGGTGTGCTCCCTACACAGAGCCAGGAGAGATGAGAGCAGACACTCTCGGGCTCTTTCTCTGCATTTCTGTTTGCACTAAATTCGATTTCTGCCTCACTTCTTTAACAATTTACTCTAGGGATCTCCTAAATTATCAAATCCCATGGTGTCTTCTTACCCTACACTGATGGCCCCAAAGCTATACTTTCTCAGCCCTCTGGGGACCGGGCACTGCTCTTTAGGTCTCCTCTGCCCTGTGGACCATACTTCTCAGCTCTACGGGGGTCTCTTCCTCCCCCAACCACTGGACCAAGGGGTGGTCAAGTGGATGCTGCCATTTCTGGGTACCAATATACAAATACCCTTTCTATTTGGAGGAAATTCAAAGACAGGAGGGGAGACAGCACCCCACCAACCACCCAGTGGCCAGAGTGGGGGCAAAGGGCAGACATGCCCTCTCCAGCTCCTGGCAGCTTGGCCCATCGGCTACTTTTTTTTTTTTTTTTGAGACAGAGTCTCGCTTGTTGCCCAGGCTATAGTGAGTGCTGTGGCATCAGCCTAGCTCACAGCAACCTCAAACTCCTGGGCTCAAGTAATCCTTCTGCCTCAGTCTCCCGAGTAGCTGGGACTACAGGCATGCGCCACCATGCCCGGCTAATTTATATATATATATTAGTTGGCCAATTAATTTCTTTCTATTTATAGTAGAGACAGGGTCTCGCTCTTGCTCAGGCTGGTTTCGAACTCCTGACCTCGAGCAATCCGCCCGCCTCGGCCTCCCAGAGTGCTAGGATTACAGGCGTGAGCCACCGCGCCCGGCCCCATCGGCTACTTTTAAGTCATGAGGTCCAGAAGGCAGTGGTGAGTGTCTAGTGTGATGATGTCTGGGGCATGGCCTCATCAGACTTAGACTGGGGTGTGGTCCTGGCTATGTCTTCTTCCTTCTAGGGTTGGTTTCTGCTGCTTGTGACCAACAGCCCTGATTGGCATAGCACTCTGACAAGGACGGCACCTTCCTCTTCACAGTGAACTGGGCCTTGATCTTTTCGGGAGCCCCAGCCATGGGACCTGGCAGGTGGAAACAAATGCATCTCGCAGTGACTAATAGCAAGGCGTTTTGTTAACACCTGCCGGCCTGAACCCAATGCACCCCAGCCAGAGTGGAGTAACAGGGTGTTATGTCCTATAGGGCGCAGACAACCATGCTCACAGACCAAAGCAATATAGCATAGGGCTGGTGCTCCCTACCTTGAGAGAGGATCTTGGCGATGGACTGTGCCAAGGACGGCTTTTCTGCAACCATGAGCACAGTCTTCATCTTCCCTCAGCTCTCAAGCTCCAGCTTCAGGACAATGGCAACGGCAAGTTCAGAAACTGCTCTTCTGCAGCCTAGCACCACAGTTGGCACGACTCCTAAAGAGAGGAACAGACACTCAGAAACAACAGCGGCTTCCCATGAAACCTATACCACTAACAAGGACACTTGTTTTAACAAACAAGACAAGATAAACCTGAGGCAAGGACAAGAAAAATTAGGGAAACCTGAAGATATGTGACATATAAACAACCAACCAGGTCAACTGAAGTGCCTCAGAGACCCACTGGGCATTTGGCTTCATTTGGGGGAAGCTGAAGTGGCCCCAATGATCTCAGGTCAATTTTGTCCCTAAATCCACGCTGGGAAGATGCTGGGGCCTATGTACCCAGACTGATGGAAGGGGCAGGTGGATGCCTGGCTCTCCTCCCCGAGCTGGTGGTCCAGTCCCCAGTGGAGGTCAAGGGGCCCTTCACGTCTACTTTCCTGCCTTCCCCACTCTAACTCTCAATCTGCAGGCCTTGCTCTGACCAAATTAAACTGGACACCATCATCTAAGGAAAAATACATTTGAAGCCTCTGTGCCTACATCCTGTTGCTGGAAATACTCCCCAAGGCCTGAAGGGCACAGCTGGACTGCCCACAGGCCCTGCTAAGTGCCGACTTTCCTTTACCGAGCTCTCCCAACACCCCTGGCAGGATGGGGCGGCCTCTCCTGTGCCCACAGCTCTCATCCTAGGACAACCTTCTGGGGGGAAAAATAAAGTTAGACTCCTATTTCATAACTGACTAAAACAGATTTCAGATCTAGCAAAGATTTATGTGAAAAAAAAAGTTAAAGTAGAAAAATACTAGGAAAAACATAAACTTTTAAAATAATCTCAGTATGAAGAATAAACACTCAGAAGCACTTGAAGCATGTTTAAAAGCACTTCGTTTCCTTTTCTGTGAACTATTCATATTTCTTACCCACTTTTTTCAATTGGATTGGTGTTTTCTTATTTTTAGGAGTTATTTATATAACGAGAAAATGAGCTCTTTGTGATATGAAATGACATCCACCAATACTCATCAAAGAAAATTAGAATTACGATGAGCTTTTACTCATTTCCCTAGCAGAGACCCAAACTCTGAGCACACGGCGGATGAGGGTGTGGGGAAGTTAAATTGTAACAGCTTCTACGTGGGGCAACCTGAAGATACCTCTCAAAACTTCAAGTGCATATCCTGCAATTCCACTCTAGGAATGAATTATTCCAGTTATTTATCAAACACCTACTACATGCTCGGCCCAGTCTTGGGTGCAAGGAATAAAGCACCAAGCAATACCAGGTCCTGTCCTGCCAGAACTCACTAGGGAGTTGGTGTGTGGGAAGGGGAGGGACAGGGCAGGCCAGGGCTGGGCTGGTGATATTTGGGAGAAGAGTCCAGGCAGAATGACCAGGGGAGGGGAGGCCTGAGAGGGAGACAACTGGGCAGGATGGAGAGACAGTGAGGAGGCCAGAACGAGCAGGGGCATAGAACATGGGGCCTCTGGGCCTTGGACTGGCCCCAGGGGAGCCAGGAGGCAGCAGAGTCCACACGGGTGGGATGATCTGACTTCCAGTCTTAAAGGGACATCTCTGGATGCCATGCAGGAGAGTGACTGGGCCCTGGGTAGAGTCTGTCAGAGTCTGGGTGGGCCTGGGCTGGGGGAAATTAGGCAAGTCAAGAATGACTCTGAGGCTGAGCACGGTGGCTCACGCCTGTAATCCTAGCACTCTGGGAGGCCGAGGTGGGTGGATTGCTCTAGGTCAGGAGTTTGAAACCAGCCTGAGCAAGAACGAGAGCCTGTCTCTACTATAAATAGAAAGAAATTAATTGGCCAACTAAAAATATATACAAAAAATTAGCCAGGCATGGTGGTGCATGCCTCTAGTCCCAGCTACTCAGGAAGCTGAGGCAGCAGGATTGCTTGTGCCCAGGAGTTTGAGGTTGCTGTGAGCTAGGCTGACGCCACGGCACTCACTCTAGCCTGGGCAACAGAGTGAGACTCTGTCTCAAAAAAAAAAAAACAAAAAAAAAAACCCACAAAGAATGACTCTGAGGCTGCAGGGTTAGGCATGAAAGGAAGGAAATGGCAGTCCCAGATGGAGCGACGGGAGCATGGTTCAGGAGTGTTAACTGTGAACCATCAGACGGCCTGGGGGTTTAGGGGAGAGTCAAAAGGGGTGAGGGTCCCCGGAAATAGCACGGCAGGGCAGCCATTGCTGTGTCGAAGGCTACTGACAGGCCAGGTGAGGTGGTAGCTGAGACCTGACCATGCAGTCTGGCAATGTGACAGTCCCCGGTGACCCTGATGGGGGCCATTTGGTGAGTGACAGAGGTGAAAGCTGTGCAGGTGAGTTTAAGAAAGCCCGGGAGAGGGGAGTGATTTTTCCTCTTAGGCTAAAAGATATGCCTGCATGTTCTACGCTGATGGGACTAGTCCGGCAGTGAAGGAAAAGAAGATGCAGGCGAGAGGGGAGGGAACTGCTGGGGTGATGGCCCGGGGTGGGCCAGGGGACAAGGGGAGCCAGTCAACCAAGGGCCTGGAGAGGAGGGAGGAGGTGTCCAGTCAGAGCAGGGGAGCGACAGGGTCACACACCTCTGGGCAGAGGAGGAAGCACGGGGCAGCCTTGCCCTGAGGGGGACAGGTGGCGCTGGGGCAGGCCCACAGCAGGAGAAGGGCTGGATTTAGATGGGATAGGCCAGGTGAGTGGGAGGGAGAGGGTTAGGCAGAGGTGCAATTACAGGGGCAGACTCAACTCAGAGATGGGTGAGGAAAGAGGTGCAGGCGTGGGCAGGGCCCACACACGGTGTGCTCTGTGGGGTCCAAGAATCATAAAGTGGGAGTCAAAGGAAGCAATCCCAGGGTGGAATTCTGGGGCAGGGACTGTGGAGGGGCTCAGGTAGTGCTGACCCCGGGAGGGTGAGGGCCCAGAGAAGGGTAGCAGGCAGGGTCACCAGGGCAGAAGCGGCCACTGAGTTGGGTGGCAGGCCCTGAGGAGACTGGGACAGAGCAGCACTGGAGTGATCCCAGGCCAGACACAGTGGAGCCTATGACTAAACACACCGTGGGGAATTCTCTGTAGTATTATGGTTCATGATAAAAGATTACAAACAGTAGGGAACTGGTTAAATGAAAGTATGGCATTTACACACAATGGAACACTCTGCAGTGTTAGAAAGGAACATATGCTCAGTAAACAGTAATGTGAATCAGATCACAGAGATAAATTAGTTGGTGTACAATGGTATGTACAGAGTTCTGCCCTCTGTGATCTCACACGTGTGTGCACATGCACACACTTGTTTACAGACAGCAGACTTGTCTGGGTATACCTCAAAACAAAGCAGTCTAACGAAAAAGAACTAAGACAATGGATTTATAAATAAAGAAAAAGTAAAGCCCAAAATATAACAGAGGGCTGGAAAGGGCATTATTAAGAAAGGATGCCAACAGAGCCTCCTTCACTAAAGCAGCTTCTGTCTCTCTTCACCATGTGCAGAAGTGGCCCAAGGGCTGGGGTTTAAAAGAGACCCAGGACTCCTCTTCTCCCACCCGGAGAAGCCAGAGGGAAAAGTGGCAGCAAAGGGGGACTGTTCTGCAAGAGCGTCTGAGTTTCCCACCCCTTCCAAGGCAAGAAAAAGTTTTGTCCTAAAATGTTTCCTCAGAGTTTCTCATGTTAGTGTCACAACGTAGCCAGCAATTATGAACTGCCAACCCTGTCCCCTGCTGTAAGAGCCCACAGGACCATAATGAAATCAATAATCTCTATAAGAAAGCTGTCCTGAATGATGGTGCTGGCAGTCTGCAGATGAGCTCGCCAGCCCAGGACAGCTCCAGATGCATCTTTGCTGCCCTGCTATGCACTCCCCAAGCCCTCCCTCCTGTGTATCATGGCTGTTCCTGCCTTTAGGCCTCTGCCTAGCCACTTTTTCCCATTAGTCTGCTTGCTCTGACCCCCTGCAGCCCTTCTCAAAGACCACGCCTGTGGTCTTTGTATCATTAGTCTGTTTCCCCATGATCATGTCTAGTTCACTGTTTTATCTCTGGCACCCAGCAAGCACTGAATGCCTGCTGAATTAATGAGTGAACAACAAAAGCTGTTGTGCCTTGGCCTCTGCTTTCCATTCTGGCAAAATTTTGGTCCTACCAAAGTCAGAGACCCAGAAGTGAGGTTTAAAGGAGACCCAGGGACTCCTCTTCTCCCACCCCAAGAAGCCAGAGGCCAGAAGGGAAAACTGGCAGCAGAGGGGGACTGTTCCTTGAGAGCTTGAGTTTCCTATCCCTTCCAAAGTAGGAAAAATGTTTTGTTCTAAAATGTTTCCTCAGATTTTCTCATGTTTGTGTCACAGAGTAGCCAGCAATTATGGCATAGTGATGACATGCCAGGCACCAGGCAATCCTGCCAGTGCCCTTGGGAGAGGGTGGTGCCACTGTACTGGCCTATGTCAGGAACTGCAGAGTCAGAGAGACCAGAGCCTGAGTGGCAGGACATGGTTTGAACCTGGGCCTATTCGTTCTAGAATCTGCTCTCTAAGCCTGATCCTGTCCAGCCTCTATGAGCATCCTGAACAGAACAGCAGCCCTGCTTTGCTTCCCTGTAGCACCTACCACCATGCATGATATAGCCTCCATCGACTTACTTGGTTCTTGTCTTACAGCTCCTAGAACATAAGTAAGCTCCAGGAGAAAGGGGGTTTTGCTTTGTTCACTCTAATGGTAAGTAGATGGTGAGAAAATACTGACTGAATATATAATACAGAGTAATTGTACCTGCAAAGTGAAGAATAAAAATACTTTTAGATCTCTAAAATTTAAAAACTGACTTTAAATCTGTAAGAGTATTGCAAACACTTCTCAATGTTCTTTTTTCCATGGTTTCAAAGTTTCTGGAAATTTCATACCTCTACTACTCCCCTTTGCGCCTAAGATCCTAAGTTTTTCGATAAATAACAGATTGACAAGTACCCTCAGAGAGAAACATTTTGCTTTAGCATCTTAAAGGGGATCACCCCATTTACCCAGGGACAGGGATGAAATCGGGCAGTTTACACAAAGGCACATCTGTCCCAATTTCAGATTGCCTGTCTACCTGTCAGACTGTGCAGTTGTTATTCATGTGTGATAAACACCTGTCTTCAATAGCTTTGGCTCTAAAGACATAAAGTTCTAGTTTGGCTGGACATGTTGGCTCACGCCAGTAATCCTTGCAGTTTGGGAGGTCAAGGTGGGAGAATTGGATTGCTTGAGCTCAGGAGTTCGAAACCAGCCTGAGCAACAGCGAGACCCCCGTCTATACTAAAAATAGAAAAATTTGCCAGGGTGGTGTGGCATGTGCCTGTCCTTCCAGCTACTCAAGAGGCAGAGGCAGGAGGATCGCTTGAGTCCAGGAGTTTGAGGTTGCTGTGAGCTAGGCTGACGCCACTGCACTCTACCCAGAGCGACAGAGTAAGACTTTCTCAAAAAAAAAAAAAAAGTTCTAGTTCAACACTTTACATTAATACTTTAGTGTTGCATGGGTACTCTGTAATCTTTTTTTTTTTTTTTTTTTTGGAGACAGAGTCTCACTCTGTTGCCCATGCTAGAGTGCCGTGGCATCTAGGTCAGCCTAGCTCACAGCAACCTCAAACTCCTACGCTCAAGGGATCCTCCTGCCTCAGCTTCACAAGTAGTTGGGACTATAGGCGCACACCACCACGCCCAGCTAATTTTTTCTATTTTTAGTTGCCAAGCTAATTTTTTCTATTTTTAGTTGCCAAGCTAAGTTTTTCTATTTTTAGTTGGGACAAGGGTCTTGCTCTTGCTCAGGCTGGTGTCAAACTCTTGACCTCAAGCGATCCTCCCACCTTGGCCTCCCAGAATGCTAGGATTACAGGCGTGAGCCACCGCACCCAGACTGTTATGTTCTGAATATCACTATTTTATTGGAGAAAAAACATCGCTTCCTTCAAGGATATAGAATCATAATGGAATACTGGGGTAAGGGACTTTGGCAGCCATTGGCACAACCATTTCAAAGAAGAAGAATAAACTAAGGCTCAGAGAAAGTGATTTTCCAAAGGTCACCTACGAAGTTTGTCTAGTGGGGACTGAAACTCATGTTTCCTGACTCCCAGCCAGAGACTCTTTCCTTTAACTTGACCAGGTTCCATCTCTTAAAAATGTCTGCAATCTTAACTGTGATTAATTTTCTGTGACTCACCTTGAAGCCTCTCTATTATTCCATTAAGACACATCTCCCATTTCAAAATGGAAGCCCATGAGAACAAAACCTGAAAGCAACAGTTTGCAAGCTTCATTTACACACCATTGTCACACTTTTGCCTTACCAACATTATTACTCACTTTAAGTTCTTGCTTTTTATTTTTAAGCTTAAATTCATAAAAATGGCCAGAAAAAGGTGCTTTACAAGTAACCTACTTAGTACATCAGGTTCGATCTTATTGCCCCCCCCAAAGCTCTGTCTGCAATTTGACATAATTTAAAAAGGGAGATTAGCAAGTGCTTAGCAATTGCTAATTGTTGACAGGGAACACCCCAATTTGAGACTATAATTAGGAGGACTGAAAGTGAATTCAAGAAGGAGTAGCAGGTTAGCCTGTTAGTACCCTGTCAACTCTATCAGCAATACTACCAACAATATGTGTGTTTTGGGGACACTGCAAATATAGAAATTTCCTTTCATGTCAGTGTCTTATAAACCAGCGGATGTGGCTAGGGAGTGGAGGCCTAGCAGTGGTCTGAATATCATTAAAATTCCAAGGATTTTCCACCTTGGTAACTTTACCAAATACCTACAGAATCAGGAAAAGAGAGAAACAATGACCATTTCTTAAGTTCCTCCTCTGTACTAGGCGTGCCAGAGCTATAAACACTACTTTATTTAATTTTGCCAACAACCCAATAAAGGCAGGCATTTTAATTTTTTAAAAGCAATCATAAATTGACGTTCAGAACACTGCTCACTAGCCATCAAGCCCAAGGTAGGCTGGCCTCTCACATCCTGTTCCCAAAAGTGAGAGGGATAAAAAGGCAAGATGAGACCATCTTCCCTTTCACCTCTGCTAGAAATTACTGCTCTTGGATTGTAGCTAATTTCTTTATAAAGTATCCTCCCTCATCTACAGGGAACAGATCAGAGAACCCAGGTGTCCTCAAGACCGAGCCGGAAAACAGGAGAAAGCGAGTGCGAGTGGAACCTGCCTGGGCGTGGACCGCGCCGACCTGGGCCCCCGCAGCTGCACAGCCTCCCTGAGCCTCAGTTTCCCTACCTGTGAGATTCGGACAACAGACTTCACCTGAAAGAGCTGTGGGTGGAAGGGTTCGCTGAAGCAGAGCATTAACCGCAGCGCCTGCTCCCTCCAGGCAGAGGGCTAAGCGCTGGCCCATCACCCCTTCCCTGAGTCCGACAGCAAGCCCCGGGAGTGAGGGTTAACCCAGATAGGCAGGAGGGGACGAGACTGTAGAGCCCGCGCCCCAGCACGGAGGGCTGCGCCCAGCCCACATTCAGGAAACACGCCCAAAAAAGGCCCGCTCTTGCCGCTTCTCTGACCTGCCCAGCGAGAGGCCCTTCGCTGGCCGCTCTCCCGCAGCCCCACAGGCGATTCTGCTCCGACTTTAGCTCCTGGGGGCAGCCACCGGCAACCCCAGCTTCCAGCAACCCTTACTTCCGGGTCCAGCGCTTCTGGCGTCCCCGCGTTTTGCGCGCCAGAGTCTGCCCTCCGGCTCGCGCGCCTCGCCGTCTGCGGGTTCCGTGGATAGCGCGTTCCGGGGGCACCGCCGGGCGTAGGTCCTTCCAGGCGGTGGACCGCAGGGGTTCCCCAAACTTCCACCCTAACCCGTCTCCGCCGCTGTCCGCAGAGGCTCACCAAGCCCTTCCCGCCACAGGGACACAATAATAATTTTCATTACAATGATTATGAAAACTGGCATGAAAATATTTAATGTCTGCTGTTAATTAAAATAATAAAAAACCGAAGGCCGGGCGCGGTGGCTCACGCCTGTAGTCCTAGCACTCTGGGAGGCCAAGGCGGGCGGATTGCTCCAGGTCAGGAGTTTGAAACCAGCCTGAGCAAGAGCGAGACCCCGTCTCTACTATAAATACAAAGAAATTAATTGGCCAACTAATATATGTAGAAAAAAATTAGCCGGGCATGGTGGCGCATGCCTGTAGTCCCAGCTACTCGGGAGGCTGAGGCAGCAGGATTGCTTGAGAATGTAAGGCAGAGGAATTTGTAGGACAGAGGAAGGGCAGAGGAATTCTTCCACTTGTCGGGAATTCACTTGGGTGGGGCAATGAGCTAACGGGCAAACCTTTGCTTCTGGTCATTGCTTGCTTGCTACACAGCTGTAAGGGGAATTATGGGATGAGGTCATTGAAGCACGGGCAACTGGCCTATCAGGCAATAGAGGGCAAACAACCCGCCAATTATTTCAAAAGGCAATAGTGGGCAACCAATCATTTTAAAGGTCAACGCATAATCCATGCGTAGTCGGCTTGTGCGCAGCTTGTGCACTGTGGGGATAAAAGGCATGCCGTTGTTCCGGTCGGGGTCCTTGCCTGCGAGAGTGGCCACTGTGTTGGTGCTCTGGGGCTTGGACCCTGGCTAGCCAGAAAATAAACCTCCTCTTGTGTGATTGCATCCTCGATGTCTCTGCTTTTCTGTCCGGTGGGGCTGTGGAAGGTCGGTCCCTAACAAGCCCAAGAGTTTGAGGTTGCTGTGAGCTAGGCTGACGCCATGGCACTCACTCTAGCCTGGGCTACAAAGCAATACTCTGTCTCAAAAAAAACCCACAAAAAACCTGCAGATGTGTGTATAGCAAGCTTCCTTCAATACTATAGATATTTTTTGTATGTTACAGCATTACAATTATAGGTTTATTTTCACGATCTTCTTTTAATGTATTTTACATAACAACGAACACACATTTCCTTTGCTCCCTGTAGACTCTCCCCAACCTACCTTTATTGGAATACTACCCCAATAGATCCTCTGGAAAAAGAAAAGTTCTGTGGAAAAATTAAGGTTTGGGAATGTCATAAATTAAGAGGGGCAGTGAAATTTCACTTTCAAAACGGAACTCCTGGTTCCAAACCGAGTCCTTGATAGGTTCTCTATCTCCAAAATGGCAAGGGCGGCAGAGAGGCAAAATCGGAGGCCTTCTGCTCATCTGGTCAGTCTAGTGTCCATTCTGCAAAGCCTGAGGAAGGACTGAGGCCTGTACCCAGCAGCGGACACTCAGTGGTAAGCTCTGGAGGCCTGGGTGTCTCAAGATGTTCTTAGAGCTGAGAAACTGTAGCTGCTTCGTGCTGTCTTCCCAGAGAGCCCTGCAGCTGACCATCCCTCCCCACCCCCCAAATTTCCCCAACCTCCCTGTGAGCTTGGGTCAGGACCTCTCATGGACCCTTAGGTTGACAAATGATCCAGATTGAGAGGAACCCTTCGACTTGTTGGAGGTCCCCTTCCAGGGTGACTCCCCCAACCCCCAGCTGCATTCTGACCAGGGGAACAGTGGCCTAGGGACAACTTAGCTGGAGGGGCTTCCCTCTTCCTCCATGGCTAGGAAGAAACTGGGCCCACTGGCTGCAGGAGGAAGTGAATCCAAATCCGTACCCACCAGTGAGATTCCCTGGGGAATGCTTCTGATTGGTTCCACCTGGGTCGGAAGTCCTGCCTTTGATCAAGTGGGAGCCAAGAGGCAAGGTCAAGTGATTCACTGGGGCCTTCCTTGGGGTGGGGTGATTGGAGCCCTGGGCTTCTCAGGAACCAGGCAGCTCCCCGAGCCAGCAGTGAGACTGATCCCTACTGGAAGCAGTCCAATTCCTCAGCCAGCTTTGGGTGGGGCAGGGCAGGGCAGGGGAGAATCATTCAGACTGTATTCCCTCTGCCCCCAGCCGGTGAGGAAATCTGGTTTACTACCCTTAGAACAGAGCTCTCCAGGAGGGCAGGTCAATTTACCAAGAAGATATAACAGTTCTAAACCTGTATGTGTATAATAAAAATTTCTCAAACTATATAAAGTGGAAATTGATAGAAATAGAGGGAAGAACTAAAAAATCCCCTATCATGGTAGGTAATTAATACAGATCTATTGATTAGCTATACTGCCTAGTGAACATATATACAAAATCTAAAACCATAGCAAAATAAATCTAACAGAATATTAAAAAGACAATATGATTAGGTTAGGTTCATCCCAGCAATATTAGAAAATCTATTAGGTTGGACTGATTAAAATTGTATTTTTATTGGTCAAAAATGATCAAATATCAGCAATTTGATATTGTTCCAATATAAATATCATTCACCCCATTAGGACATGAAAGAAGAAAATCATGTTACTATCTGACTAGAGGTACAAAAGGCATTTGGTAAAATTTAATACCTGGTGTATACAGTAAGAGAAGAAAAAGAAATAAAAGGCATAAGGATTGGAAAGGAGGAAATAAAAGTGATTTGCTGATAATATGATATTCTACTTGGAATACCAAGAAGAATCCATTGATTAACAGAATTAACAGAAATAACAAGAGAGATTTACCAGGTAACTGATTATAAGATCAATATCCAAAAGTCCATTGCATTTCTATATACCAGCGATGATTAGAAAATGTAATAATAAAAAAAGGGGGCCGGGCGCTGTGGCTCACGCCTGTAATCCTAGCTCTTGGGAGGCCGAGGCAGGCGGATTGCTCAAGGTCAGGAGTTCAAAACCAGCCTGAGCAAGAGCGAGACCCCGTCTCTACTATAAATAGAAAGAAATTAATTGGCCAACTGATACATATATAAAAAATTAGCCGGGCATGGTGGCGCATGCCTGTAGTCCCAGCTACTCGGGAGGCTGAGGCAGGAGGATCGCTTGAGCCCAGGAGTTTGAGGTTGCTGTGAGCTAGGCTGACGCCACGGCACTCACTCTAGCCTGGACAACAAAGTGAGACTCTGTCTCAAAAAAAAAAAAAAAAAGGCATTTACCTAGCAAAAACCATTATGTAGTATCTAGAGATAAATCCACAAAAGTTTTTAAAGATCTATATGGGGAAAAGTATAAAACATAAATAAAGAGCCCATGTTCATGGATAAGAAAACTTAGTATCATAAGGATGTCAATTCTCTCCATGCTGACTTTTAGATGCAATGTAGTTAAAATAAAAATCTGAATAAGATCTTTTTGGAAATTTGACAAACATATTTTAAAATTTACAGAAAATTTATATAAAAGAATTGCTTAGACTTCTAAAGAGGAAGGTTACTGGGTTAGGAGGAGGAGGAGGGATGGCCAGGAAGGGAGGGAGACTTGGTGTGTCAGAAACTGACCAGCAAAAACAGAGGACAGGGAAACAGATTCCTGTGCATGTGACTTTGAAATACAACAGAGGTAGCAAATCAGATCAGTGGAAATTGATGCCATAATAAATGGCTGTATCAATGCAAAAAAATGAAATTGGATCTTTACCTCAGACCATACAGAAAAAAATGCCAGATGGGTTCAAACCTTAAATGTTAAAAGTAAAACTTTAAAATTTTTATTTAAAAATGCAGTTGAATATGTTTCTGACTTAAGGTAGAAAATAATTTTTTTTAAGAGATGGGGCCTTGTTATGTTGTCCAAACTGGCCTCAAACTCCTGGGCTCAAGTGATTCTTCCACCTCAGCCTCCTGAGTAGCTGGGACTACAGGTGTGCACAGCCACGCTCAGCTGTGGAAACGATTTCTTAAGATACAAAAAGTGATCATTATAAAATAAAGGATTGATACATTTGGTTATATTACAATTAAGAACTTTTTAATCAAAACTTGTTTATCAAAAACTTTTTTAAAAAGTGAAGACCTAATGTAAGCTATGACCTGGGAGAAGATATGACCAACACATAAAACTGGCAAAGGTTTAGTATCCAGAATATAAAAAGAACTGCAAATCAACACAAGAAACAGCAGAATGGAAAGATGGGTAAAAGACATGAACAAGAATTTCATGGAAAGGAATTACACATGGCCAATAGAATCAAAACCACGTTTGCTTGGCAAATCAACAGGCTCTGAAGAGATCAACAGAATCTCATATATTGGTGGGAAAACATTTTGGCATTAATTGTGTAAAATGTAATATTTACATATCTAACCCAGCAGTTCTACTTCTCCACATAAATCTGGGAGGAAGCCAGAAGCCTATTAAAAGAATAACCCAGGCCAGGTGAGGTGGCTCACGCCTGTAATCCTAGCACTCTGGGAGGCTGAGGTGGGCGGATCGCTCGAGGTCAGGAGTTCGAAACCAGCCTGAGCAAGAGCGAGACCCCATCTCTACTATAAACAGAAAGAAATTAATTGGCCAACTAAAATATATAGAAAAAATTAGCCGGGCATGGTAAGGATTGCTTGAGCCCAGGAGTTTGAGGTAGCTGTGAGCTAGGCTGACGCCATGGCACTCACCCTAGCCTGGGCAACAAAGTGAGACTCTGTTTCAAAAAAAAAAAAAAAAAAAAAGAATAACCTATACCAAAAAGTTATTATAAATGGAGAGCTCATGTTCATGGATAAGAAAACTTAATACCATAAGGATGTCAGTTTTCTCCATACTATTAGGTGCAATGTAATTAAAATAAAAATCCAAGTAGGATTTTGCATTCATGAATGCAAAAATAGTTCAATATTAGAAATTTATATTTTGAGCTGTTGAGTGGCTGG